GATGAGGGAGATGAGGGAGATGAAGAAGATGATAAAGATGAAGATGATAGAGTTCAACGAGCTCAGCGAGATGAAAGAGATGAAGGAGATGATGAAGATGATGGAGATGATGGAGATGATGAAGATGAAGGAAAAAAAGGATATTAAGGAGATGACGAAAAAGATGAAAATGATGATGCCCCCCCCCCTCCCAGAATTAAATAATTTAAAAAATTTAAATCCGAAACGCCCTTTCGGATTTAAATTATTTAAATTATTTAATTCTGGGAAGGGGGGGGGCCCGGTCCTGCCCCCCCCCCCTTTTCGGATTTAAATTATTTAAATTATTTAAATTATTTAATTCAGGGGGGGGAATTAAATAATTTAAATAATTTAAATCTGAAAGGGTGGGTTCGGATTTAAATTACTTAAATTATTTAATTCCCCCCCCGGAATTAAATAATTTAAATAATTTAAATAATTTAAATAATTTAAATAATTTAAATAATTTAAATCCGAAAAGGGGGGGGGGCCAGGCCCAGGCCCCCTCCCCCTCCCAGAATTAAATAATTTAAATAATTTAAATCCGGAACGCCCCTTTCGGATTTAAATTATTTAAATTATTTAATTCTGGGAGGGGGAGGGGGCCCGGGCCTGGCCCCCCCCCCCCTTTTTGGATTTAATTTATTTAAATTATTTAAATTATTTAAATTATTTAAATTATTTAATTCCGGGGGGGGAATTAAATAATTTAAATAATTTAAATCTGAAAGGGGGGGTTCGGATTTAAATTATTTAAATTATTTAATTCCCCCCCCCGGAATTAAATAATTTAAATAATTTAAATAATTTAAATAATTTAATAATTTAAATCCGAAAAGGGGGAGGGGCCAGGCCCAGGCCCCCTCCCCCTCCCAGAATTAAATAATTTAAATAATTTAAATCCGGAACGCCCCTTTCGGATTTAAATTATTTAAATTATTTAATTCTGGGAGGGGGAGGGGGCCGGGCCTGGCCCCCCCCCCCTTTTCGGATTTAAATTATTTAAATTATTTAAATTATTTAAATTATTTAATTCCGGGGGGGGAATTAAATAATTTAAATAATTTAAATCTGAAAGGGGGGGTTCGGATTTAAATTATTTAAATTATTTAATTCCCCCCCCCGGAATAAATAATTTAAATAATTTAAATAATTTAAATAATTTAAATCCGAAAAGGGGGGGGGGGCCAGGCCCAGGCCCCCTCCCCCTCCCAGAATTAAATAATTTAAATAATTTAAATCCGGAACGCCCCTTTCGGATTTAAATTATTTAAATTATTTAATTCTGGGAGGGGGAGGGGGCCGGGGCCTGGCCCCCCCCCCCCTTTTCGGATTTAATTTATTTAAATTATTTAAATTATTTAAATTATTTAAATTATTTAATTCCGGGGGGGGAATTAAATAATTTAAATAATTTAAATCTGAAAGGGGGGGTTCGGATTTAAATTATTTAAATTATTTAATTCCCCCCCCCGGAATTAAATAATTTAAATAATTTAAATAATTTAAATAATTTAATAATTTAAATCCGAAAAGGGGGAGGGGCCAGGCCCAGGCCCCCTCCCCCTCCCAGAATTAAATAATTTAAATAATTTAAATCCGGAACGCCCCTTTCGGATTTAAATTATTTAAATTATTAATTCTGGTAGGGGGAGGGGGAACGGGCATGGCCCCAACCACCCCCCCCCCTTTTCGGATTTAATTTATTTAAATTATTTAAATTATTTAAATTATTTAGTTCCGGGAGGGGAATTAAATAATTTAAATAATGTAAATCTGAAAGGGGGGGTTCGGATTTAAATTATTTAAATTATTTAATTCCCCCCCCCGGAATTAAATAATTTAAATAATTTAAATAATTTAAATAAGTTAAATAATTTAAATAATTTAAATAATTTAAATCCGAAAAGGGGGGGGGGGGCAGGCCAAGTCACCCTAACCCCTACACAGAATTAACATACATTTAATAATTTAAACCATTTTCCGGAAGCCCCTTTCGTGATTTTTTTTTTTTCCTTTTAAAGTCTTTAAATTATTTAATTCGGGAGGGGGAGCGGGCCCGGGCCTGGCCACCCACCCCCCCCCCTTTTCGGATTTAATTTATTTAAATTATTTAAATTATTAAAATTATTTAAATTATTTAATTCCGGGGGGGGAATTAAATAATTTAAATAATTTAAATCTGAAAGGGGGGGTTCGGATTTAAATTATTTAAATTATTTAATTCCCCCCCCCCGGAATTAAATAATTTAAATAATTTAAATAATTTAAATAATTTAAATAATTTAAATAATTTAAATAATTTAAATAATTTAAATAATTTAAATCCGAAAAGGGGGGCCAGGCCCAGGCCCCCTCCCCCTCCCAGAATTAAATAATTTAAATAAGTTAAATCCGGAACGCCCCTTTCGGATTTAAATTATTTAAATTATTTAATTCCTTGCCCCAGACCCCCCAGAAACGATAATAGGGTCTATTTGGAAGTTGTCTCTTGTAAATAAGTATACGTTTTGGGGCCTTATTTCCTCTTTAAAACACGAGTCTCAGCTTCCAAATAGACCCTATTTAAGCTGCACAAGGGGGGGGGGGGGGGGGGGTAGGGGGGGCGCCCCCACGTTTGCAGACATATGCGCGCAGATGGGTTTCAACAGACTCAGAGGTATCAGATGCTTGGAAGCAATCTTGCGCGGCTTAAAAAAGCGGGGGGGGGGGGGGGGCCCCCCCCCCCCCCCCCCCCCCATTTGCAAACACAATGACAGTGATCGCATGATGGGTTTCAAAAAGAATCATATGCTTTGAAGCAAGCTTGCACGGTTTAAAAAAAGTTGGGGCTGTGGGGGGCAGCCCTCCCCAGTTGCAAACACAATGACCGCATGATGGGTTTCAAAAACAGATTCACATGCTTCGAGTTTAAGGTTTTAAATCATTTTTTGCAGCAATTCTATTCTTGATAGCATAATGTGATGTCAAGCAAGCTTGCGCGGCTTTATACAACGGGGGGGTTGAGGGGACCAGAGGACCAGAGGACTAATGATTGACTAATGCTGACCTTGGGCGCCCAAAACCCTGAAAAAAGTGGGTTTGGAACCCAAAACCGGGTTTTCCGGAAGATTTTGTCAAAAACCTGGTTTTGACTAACAGAACCGGGTTCTTTCAAAATGTGACGTATAGAACCCGTAAATACCCGTCGGAAAACCCGAAAAAAACCGTCGAAAACCCAGAAAAAACCGTCGGCTTTCATTTGGCCCTACAAAACCCGGTTTTGGTTTCCAGAACCTGGTTTTAAAGTAGAACCTTCTTTTTTTGGGTTTTGGTTGCTGAAGGGAATTTTATATTTTCGGGGAGGGTCCGGTGTCCTGAAATGTCATCCAGCCGCTGGGCTACATTTCAGGTAGTGGAGGCTTCCCGAGCTTTCCGCGGCGCTTGTGGCTGTGTGTTTGCCGAATGTGACTCTTTCTAATGTTGAATTTTCATGAGTTTTCTAATGTGGTGGGGGGTGTGGCGTCCTCAGATGTCGTCCAAACGTTCAAAACCCTGAACAGTTTGGCTTCTATTGCTGCATCCAACCCCCCCCCCCCCCCCCCAACTTCATGCTTGAAGTATCAGGAAGTGTGCCGAGCAAAACCAAGCCAGGCATCAGTGTACATGATAAGTTGAGGAAAACACACCGTACTTATCATGAAAACTCCATCCCCACAGGAGCTTGAGTATGAGACCCAGCTTTGCTCATCAGGAATGGGGGCGGTGGGGGGGGAACCGCTAATTTGTGACCAATTCGGTGTCTCGCCAGGGGCTAAACCCCACCCAGTGGTGGGTTCGGGGCCTGGACCCCGAAGCCCTTTTTCGACGGGGTTCAGCTCCCTCGCCCTGCTGCTTGAGCTTTCGTCCCATCCCCTCCGGGTCACGAGTAACACAGATTGTGCAGAGTTCGTTGTGTGTTTGGCTCACATGTTGCCTCTAAGCGCCTCCTCTGTTGAACGCTTCATTGGGGACTCCGCATGCTGAGCGTCCTAATGTTTCGATTGTGTCTGATGCCAAAACCTTCCCGAAACCCAAGGGTGCAGCTAGCCTCCTTGGATTGTTGGCAGGGACTGGAAATATCCAGGGACCTTATAAATATAAGCCCTCTAAATACCCTATAAGCCTTACAAGCCCTGTGGGGAGTCGCCTCTTGGGCATGCTCTTGCATAAAATTATTTTGTATTAATTATGCTAGACTATAATTCCCCAAACAGTGCTTGCGCAATGGGGTTCTTACGTTCAGGGTAAAGGAATTGGTTGCTGACCGCAACGGCGCGCGCGGCGGTGGGACGGGGCCTTGGTTTCGACGCTCCCGCTGTGGTTTCGCGCGAATTCGTTGCGTTTCGATGCTCCCGCTGTGGTTTCGCGCGAATTCCGTTGCATTTCGATCCTCCCCCTGTGGTTTCGCGCGAATTCCGGCCTCTCGTGGCCTCCTCAGGCCTCTGGGGGGGCCACTTAGGTTGCCGACCGCAACGGCGCGCGTGCTCCCGCTGTGTTTTGCGGCCTCTTGTGGCCTCTTCAGGCCTCTTCTGGTGGGGCTACTATAAAAACACCGGGTTTAGGGGTTTAGGGTCAACCCTGCGGCTGGGTGCGGGGGTTAGTATTATGGGGTAGCGATTTTGGGGTTGAGCATCATGAGCATCAGCGGGTCTTTTGGCCCCCAAGTTCCACACGCGTGCAAAGCCGAATCCCCCAGTGGTTGGCGTCTTTTTGACCCCCAAGGGAATTCGGCCCCCCACGAACTTTTGTACTTTTTGTCCCCGGGAGTGTCGGTGCTCTTCTGGCCTTCTTTGGCCTTTTCTGGCCCTCCTCACTGTTTGGGGTCTACGCCGGCATAATATGCTTTTTTATACAAAACTAGACTATCCTATCCTATACTTTCCTACACTATACGATACTACTATATATAAGTTTGTTAATACGGAGCTTTCGCCTCTTGGGCGTGCGCTCTTGCAAAGGCTGCTGCTGAAGCACTCGGAGATGTGGCTCAAAGCGCTGTGGACGCTGTGGAAGATGCCGGGGAAGCTTCGAATGAGAACTGGAAAACATGCAAACCTGCGCATAGTTTTGTGTCATTTGTCCTTCATGCTCCCTACAAAGGCACACGATTTAAGACACCAAGCCCTCCTCAAAATTGTAGGTTTCCTACATTCGTCTAGTTTTCTATCTGAGTCCAACGCTTCGAGCTTGTTGGTTCGCCAAAGCTTCTCACACGGAAGACCGTAGCCGTAGCCCTAGCCAAACGCAACGACTTAGTCTTTTCGGCCAGGATATTTGGCGCGTGCACATTTACTTCTAGACATGTAGAAGACGATTCCTTCCCCGGACCTCCAGAGAAGGAGCTGGTGGCCTCTACAGCCGTCAATTTGGCTGGCGATGCACTTGCAGCTGCTCAATACTCGATACAGCAGGCAGCGCTTGAACCGCCTTGTGGGACTCTGATAAACCAGATATGGGCCCAAAGGCTCTCCTTCGAAATGTTGAAGCGTTGCTTGTTTCGAAGGCTGTAGGCAATATTGCACAATGGGTTTTAGGCATCGGGATTTCTTCTCACTTGGGAGCTCCACAACCATAGTACGCAGTACTCCAAAAAGTATTTGTGCATTTGTTGCTGCGTTGAAAAGCGCATGAAGCCTTGTTAAAGCCCTGTTGCTCCGCTTGCAGGGAGTAAGCTTGGCCACCACAATCGCGAACGAGCTTGAGAGCGCGGCCGCGGCCTTCGGCGGCTGCGGTCAAGTTTGCTACACTGTTTCCCCCCTGATAGTAAAAAGTGACAATAGTAATTATCAGAAATCAGTTTTCACATCCTATTGAGGCGTCATCCTAGTGAGACGTTGGTACCAGGAGTGGGGTGTTTTGAACACTAGGTGGCGAGATTGCCAAAATTGGGTATCTGGTGGCCGACCTCGCCCAAGAGGCGTGGGATGTAATCAAAGACTTCATCGGCTGCCTCACAGAATCTTTCACTCTGTACCTTGGTGGACGAAAGGCTCAGGGGTGGTGCAATGCACCACTTCCCAGCTAGTGTCAGACAGTCGTCTTCAGACTGTAGTCCCAGGATTCACCTGTCAAGGCTTGGTTCTTTGCGGAGTGTCTTGCTGGGAGGGGTTTCATTCCTGCGCCTGTCGAGAAGCTTGTCGGCTCGTCGAGCTTCTTCTTCGGATGCTATGTCTTACTCTTGTCGCCGCTAGTTTTGGCTCTATTGCTACTGTTGATGTTGTGTATATTGTTCAATCTGTATTACTGTTCGTGTGTTTGTGTATATTTTTCAACGTGTACTACTGTTCGTGTTCTTTCTACGGCTACTATTGTCATTCATGCCGCATACCTTCGTCGACATTGGTCTTGCAGGGTTCGTACCATCCACTGGCATCATTGTTTCTTCTGGATTGCATATGAAGATTCTTCATTTGCACTATGGTTACACCGATTGCTTGAATTCTCTCATGTAACCACTCATTTGTTTGCGTGCTTGTTTTAAGCTGGCTCGTTTGTTGACGAACTTTTCTGCTTCATGATTTCTACAGACGTCAGAAGCGAAGGTGCAAACTGCTGCTGGATGATGTGGCCGATTGTGACGATGGCGCGAGCGGCGTGAGCTTTACCACATCCAGTGCCTCAGTGACGTTGACGTTCACTGGTGAGTTCACAAAGGGTGTCTTGGATTTGCAGAATGAAAACATATACGATATCATAGAGCATAACATAAGAGAGTATAGACGTATAGATAATGCATTTCTGCATATATATATATGGTTTGTCCCCAAACAGTCTACTGTTGGGGTTCCAAATTAATTAAGGGTTGCCGACATTCTGAAGGCTGTTGCCGGGTTGCTGGGCTCCTTGTCTCCCTTTGTCTCCCTTCATGCGGGTGGCTTTGCCGGGTTGCTGTGCTCCTCGCCTCCCTTAGTCTCCCTTCGTCTCCCTTTGTCTCCCGTCGGCTCCACTGTTTCTTTGACGTGCCTTTGACTGTTTGGGGTCTTCGGTGGTGTAATGTAACAGAATATAGTAATAGTAGAACACAAGTGTAGAGAAATCGAAATCCATCCCCGGATCCCGAGATCGTAATGTGAAACTTTTGAAATTGTACATCATGTTTATAAATCACAAGTAGTATTGACGGTGTAGTATCAATGCAACAGTGAGATATCAACCTGAAACATCTTGGAATGTCCCGAGCTTCCGTCAAGGCAATTTCAAAAGCGAGCCTAAATACCTTTTGGGGGGGGGCATGGACGCCTAAACCTTCAACCAGACTCAACAACCCAAAACCGTCTCAAAAGGGCCGAATTCCAGGCTGGGGCCTTGAGGCATTCGGAGGCGCCTTATTTGGGATGGGCGATGCAACAAGCGGCGGCCGACCCAAGCTGCTTGGGTCTACGTCTTGCTTCAGAGGTTTTAGAGTTGAGAGGGTTCAAGGTTTAGGTACTGTTTTAGGGGGGGGGTCTTCTAGGGGCTGCACGTGGTCCATCATAGGGCTGTATGTGGCATATGGATGCTGTTGGGTTCACGGGTTAGGGTTTCACACTCCCTAGCTCTCTGGGGACAAGGCACCATGGTTCTTCTTAGGTTGCTGGGGGTCCAAGGCTGCCAGGCCGTGATTCCTCGCAGGCGCGCAAGCCGCCAGGCACCACGCTGAGGTGCAACGGGGCAGCGAAAGTCATATCATGGAAACCCCCAGCTTGAAAATACCGCCAAGCCCACACCCAACAACCACCTCTTCCAATGTTCTGCAAAGTCCCAACCCCACCCCCTCGACTTGTCGCACCCCTCCCGAAGAGAAGAAGGTGCTATATATGTATATATGTACATATGTATATATGTATATATGTATATATGTATATATGTATATATGTATATATGTATATATGTATATATGTATATTCTAAGGGGCTACGCCCAAAGGCGGGCAACGCCCCGAGGTTTCGTGGACGGAGCACGCAGTGGGCGCGCCGCGCGCGCGCGCGCGCGCCGGCAAGGCTATCCAGAGGGAGTACCACCTTCCACTGCTGGTTAGAGCGCGCGCGAGGAGTGCAGAAACAGGCTCTGAACCACATCAGCTGCCTCCATGAGTCGACCCACACTGGAGGCTTCAAGCAAGCCGCCGCAGAGAAATTGGGTAAACCAGAGGGCATTCTTCATCAGTATCAGATATGTTCCAGACCGAACCAAAAAACATCACGAATGGCGCAGATCGTGGGAGCCCTTCTCGAAGGAACAGTATCCAGCCTCTCCTGTAGCTGGTCGAGATACCTGCGCTCAGATTCCGCAGACACTATACTATACCCGCTGACCTTCGAGAGAGCGTCAGCGGGAAGGCCTGCGCAAAAGAACCAACGAAAGAAAACAACTACGGTTGTAGACCAGAACTATGCCCGGAATACTGGATGGACACTCTGCTTGCCAATGCAGCGCCATGCTGACTGTTCCACATCAGAGGAAACAAGGAAAGTAAAGTCGCGACAGTTAGGGTTTAGGGTTCGGGGCTCGGGGTTCGGGGTTAAAGTTTAGGGTTTAGGGTTTAGGGTTCAAGGTTTACAGTGTAGGGTTAAGGGTTTAGTAAGTGTGAGAGAGGGCGACCTGCGCGTCATATCTGAACCGCAACGACGACAAAAACAACGCCTTCTTTTGAAACCCTAAAGACTGAACCCTGCACCGCTGGCCAATCTCCACGCCCGAAAACTCAATCCCCTGCCTAAACCCCAAGCCGCATCGGAGCCCCTAAGCCCTATAACTGACCCCTAACTCCCCTAATCGGCCCTAAAAACCCTCAGCCTTTGAAGGAACAAGAAAGGGCTGAGGAGCTTCTTGGCCGCGGCCCCGAGTGGGTCGTGCGCGTCGAGCCTGGAGATGGCTTTCGATGCTGGTCGGAAGTGGCGTTCGGCTTTAGGGACTAAAAGGGCCGAAAGAATGTAGGCTTTACCGGGTTCAGGGCTTTAGGGCCTTCAGGGCTGTAGAGCCTAATGGTTGAGGGCCGTAGGGTTCATGGCTAGAGACCCCCAATGCCTAAGATCCCTACTCCCAAAACACGACCAGGTTTAAACCTTACGGGATCAGACTTAGCCGAGTCTGTGCATTGTAGAAATGCCAAGGAAGGGGTGGTCCAGTTCGAGCCGACACTAAGCCTCACCGTCAACACCAATGGCGATACCGAGGCGAGGATACGGCAAAAAACAATGATGCTCCAGATTCTGATAGCGAGGAACCAGAATATCAACAACTGAAACGTGTCTATCTCGCCTCGCATAGTCTTCCGTGTTCATTGCCTTTTGCCCCTGGCTGCATGGACGTTAATAGAGCCAAACTACGGGCAATCACAGACCCAACAAGATTTAATAAGGGTTCAGGATGCTCACCGCTAACCCTACACAGTAAATTCTTCGTCCCTAACTAAACCTAAGCACTTAAGACGCAAAGTGACCCGACCCAACGACCAATACAGCGGATTGAACATGCACCTGGGTCGAAATCTCAGTGGCGCCATTTTTCTTGGGACCTTACTGAGGAACCCACCTGCTCAGACAGTATGGAGGTCGGAGCACCCCCAACAACTGAAATGTGGAAGTCAGTTTTGAGCCTGAACCCTAAACCCCAAACCGAAACCCTATAGACCCTAAACTCTAAACCCCAAGCGAAAAGGTGGAAATTAGCGGCATTGTCCGCGCTTCTTTCGATGCCCTTGTTCAAGCGGAGGGAAGCTGCGGTCTAACAGCAGAGCGGCGGCTACTGCGCATGACGACGTTTTTTCGGGTTTTGAGTTCTTGGAAGTGTAGGGCTTGCACTAAAGAAGGGAGGGATTTGGCAAAAGAAATGCTGAACATGAACTCTGGGAAAACTGAGGTTTCCGGCGAAGCCAATAATGAAGGCGTTTTGCACCGTCCCTGTCTGCATCATTGCTGCTCGCCTGTGTTTGCATGCTCTTTTGAGCGTAAGATGTGGGTTTTTGAGCCTCCACAGCTCTCTGCATCCCTGCGCGCCAACTCAGTTGATGCTGCAGATGGTGGCAGAAATCGAAATGGGCGGATCCATGACTGGCACGTCGGAGGCTGGATCGCGAGAGCTTCTAAACAACTGGTTACTTTGAACACAAACCCTCCCCCCCCCCCCCCCCCCCCAAACCCCCCCCCCTTAGGTTCAGGGTTCGGGCGTCGGCTTTCGGAGACCGGGCGTCTTCCTGCGGCTTTCACTGATCCTGGCAATTCCTCCTACCCATCCTTTTCGGATAGGCGCCTACAATGCAGGACCTCCAGAAATGCCCGAAATGCCCCAAGTCTTCTCCAGGAGCTATTGTGAACTGTCAGGGCATCCGGGGCTTCAGGTGTACGATTTTGGGGTTTACGGTTTATCCAACCGCAAAGCAAACCAACACCCATCACATCTTGCTCTGTCGATTTTAGGTGCTCTCAAAACAGTCCTAAAATTAAACGCTGTAAAAGGTGTCACAAAGACTTGGCACACAAATAGAACGTCCTTCTCATGACTCAAGCTCCGAAATTAAGCCCCGACGCTTTCCGAGGCTAGTGCAGAGGCTGAAATTGAAATCTCAGGGACGTTTCTGGGCCTTGAAAAAATCGTTTAGTGCTTGATATGGTTTATACAGTGTTTATACAGGCTTCTTATTGTTACTTTTTGAAGGCCTTCCGGCACGTTTGATGCAGTTGTAGAGGCCACAGTTGTCAGTTCTAGCACTTGTCTTTATGTCGCATGAGAGCATCTCAGGATTACTGTGAACCCCAGTGGCAGTGCGGCGGTGAACTTTCAGAACCCGTCCATCAAGCATGAGGTGCGGCATAGTTGGCTCTGACTATTGAGCAATATAAGCCCCTTGTTTTAAGCCTTACTAACTCATTATTGGTACGTTATCATGATGCTCAGGGCCGTGCACCTTCAACCCCAAGCTTAAAACCATATAAGGGGCCTTGGGCCAGGGGTATGGGCCTGAGAAAGCATCCTACTTTGGATACATGACGGCCCCTTAGCTTCTTTTTGCTTCTTGGAAATTCCCATCGGGATGTTGGGTGGGTTTCTTCTTCGGATCCATGCCAGACCAACAGTTCTGGTACAACCCCGCGTTTGGGATGGAGGAGCCTCGAAAGCGCGGGCTTGTAGAAGTTTCGAGGCTTTGAGTATTTTAAGTTGGGGCTTCAAGCTTGTTCGCGTGATGGCTGAAACGCCCTAGCACAAGTCAGGAGTGAAAGACCCTGAGCCCCGAGAAGACTCCAAGCCCAAACTTTTTCCCCACAAGGCCTCTCCCAAACACCAAAGCCCTTTTGTTGTAAAAAATGCCCTAAGCCCTGTTGGGGCAAAGACTTAAAGACCCTTCAAAGGCAGGCGTGGGCGTGGCGGCCAGCACCAGCGGATTCATTCGAGTTGGTATCGGCCCGGAGTTTGTGGTGACCTGGCCCACGTTATACATCTTGTCTCAGATCTGGTAGTATCTAGTGTATAGTACTAGTATATTCTAGTATATTCTAGTATATTCTGGTATAGTCTAGTATAGTCTAGTATATTCCAGTATAAGAGTATACAACAGGATACTGCCTAGGACCTTTATATAGGGTCTCTTTGACGGCAACAACTTACGTTCCGACCTTCACAAGGGGCGGGAGCTTCGGCCGAGACGCCAAACATAAAGCATGGCAAAACAACACAACAATTGCTCTTTTCCCCCTAAAAGCTTTGTGTTGATCAGAAAATTATGTAGGATTTGCTGTGATACTTTGTCTAGGGCTTTGGGTTGAGAAGTTGGGTTCAAGGTGTTCTCTTGTTGTGGCTCTAGGGCTGGGACTTGCGTGGAGTCAACTTGCAGCTGGATTGTGACTGCTATGACTGCTCTTGCTACTATGACTATTAGGATTTCCACGAAGACCACATTTGTGTGACGATGGCTATTTTGACATAATCTGGGCCCCGGGTGCAGATTTTTCAGGACACTTTCATATTTCTTTGCAGGGTTTTCATACGGTTTGCAGGGATTTTTACACGATTGCCATAGGTTTCTGCTCTCAGGAGAATTTTGTGCTTGTAACTGTAAGGTGTGGCCGATGCCGGGTGTTCCCGTGGTCATCACCCCGATGTTCAACGCCGAGGTGGGAAGCGTGCGGATCCAACGAACGTGGTTTAGGGTTATTTAGGGTTGCAGCCTTCAGGCATTGGAGTTTTAGCGTGCTGTTGTCGACAGGGGTGAGTGTAGCGGCAACGATCAGAATTGGCTTACTGGTTCAGAGCGGTGGGCGGGTTGCGGGTTGCAATTGCCTGCCCCGTGCCTAGAACCCTAAACCCAGCCGGGAAAACAGAGAACTCCACAGATCCGGCACCCTAAACCACACGCAGCACGGTTTCCGGTAAGACCAAAAAGTCCTCCACGGGGAGGCGTTAGGGGACCGTCAGGATGAGCACCAGGCATTAGGGCAAACTTCTTAAAGGTTCATGAAAGAAGCGGAGCATGAGGGGTTTAATACCAACTATAGGACCGTCCGTGTGAGCCCTCCAAAAAACACGCTTCCAGCGACTGGAACATTGAGCATCAGGAAACCTGACTGATAGGGAATACTCGATTGTAAAAGGGATTCTTGTTGCAGTTCTATTGCACTCCTGGGTCTGCACGCCTTTAAGGTCCGAGCGTTCTATGAAGGTCTACGTTGTCGCAGTTGTTCGTGGAGTGAATGCGACTATGAGTTGTGACTGTAACTAGTATCAGTCTGATCACTATATAATTTTGAGCATTACAGCGGCTGCATGTGGATTCATTTTCTTCATACCACTAATGGTTAAAATATGATTTAGGCTATTTTCTTATCATTATCACTCCCATTATCCTTATCGTAACCATGATCAGTACTTTCATGATCAGTTTCATTATGCTGAGTAGTAGCTTTACTGTGATCACTATCCGCATTTGCTCCTGTAGGTCAGGGCCCAGGGCACTTTGGAGCTTTCTTCGAGCGTCTCCCTGGCAGAGAGCGGGGCCAACGTGTCCAGGACAACACGCAGGATGCATAAACAAAATCCAAGAAAGGGCCGGAGCCTTTTCCAAGGGCCTTGTAACTTGCACGGGTAGTTTCTGTACACGTCATTGCACACGGACTCCTTATAAGACCTCCCCGAGGCCTTAAGCACCTTCGAAGGAATACCCAATTCTGGCATCCTTCATCTTCTCTACGACGTGTTCTGCTAAGCCAGCCGTAGCAAGCAGTTGCAGGGGAGTGGGGGTCAAGATGGGTCAAGGGCGTGCGCGTACTTTCTCACAAAGCCAAGCTGCTCTTTGTCAGACTGCAGGCGCTGACAACGCTTTACATGTGCTGCGCTGCATCGGCTCTCCGAACCACACGGGGCGATTCTTTTAACAGTGAAGTTGTTTTTTGTTAGTTTTTTTCTTTTGGGGGGGTCAGGGTGAAATGAGAAAGGAAGACAAGAGAGAAATAAGGACATACCTACATAAATGAAGACAGCAAGAAAAAAAGTCAGAAAAGCCACGACACAAACTTTAATCAACGCATGGCAGGCAAGAGGCAAGCACACTCGTACAGAATGAACAGAAGAGACAAAAGCACAATACATACAGACAAGAAGGTACACCAATGACCTAGCAAGTCAGCAACACCCGACGAGAAGGACTAAGATTCTTGTTGGCAAGTTGGGATAGGGCTTGAAAAAACTTTTCTTGATACATGACACTAGCGAAGACCCCAGACAGTGTAGACCAGAAGCTCAAGTTTAGAAAGATATTTTCAGTAATTCAGAACATCATCCAGCTAACAGCAGGAGAACGAGCTTGCAGCCTCGGGCAAAGAGTTGGACATGTGTGATGAATCGGGTTGATAACTGCGCGCGGCTGGTATTTTGGTGACAACTCTCGCTGCTTTTGGGGGCAGGGCGTGAAGCATCACCCCTGCTGCTTTCACATTTGCTGCAAAGTGATCTTGCCATAATTTGGGAGCTTGTCGTAGGCTGTACATGGCCTTCTTCAGTCTCCACAGTGTCGTTCCGGATACAAGTCAGCAGGCGGACAAACAAAGGCTTCACGAGTCATAGCTGCGTGCAAGAAGAACGCAGTCGACGCATCAACTAGAGTGATCATCCAGTTTCGAGCAGACGCAAGTATCAGCAACACACGCAGTGTCACCAACGAGGGAGTACCTGCGCCTGCGCAACCAGCCTCATGCGGTTAAACTTCTGACTTCTGAGGATTGGCCTATCTGACCCCCTTGCATCAGACACGTGCTCTTCAGAGCAGGTATCAGCTGCAGTTTCTTAGCACTCGTCAAAGTCCTGCATTGATCCCATCTCCTTATTCATGCCAGTCGCCCGTGCTTCTTCAGGGAACTCATCACTGGCATCCCACATGATGGGATTAGCCAGTGTTGCCTCGGCAACGGCTTCTTCATCACAGTTGAAACAGTGGAACCCCTGCTACGAGCTTCTGGGGGGGGGGGGGGGCGAAAGCATTCTACGAAAGCGATCGAAGTGCCTAGTCAGTGCAGTCAGTGTTGGGTGTCTCTCATCCAGTTCCCAAGAGTCGGTTGCAGTGGTTAGCAGTTAGTAGATCTGGGGGATAGTGACCTATATTACAGTCGTGAACCGACACCAGACAGTTGAGCATCAAGCTCTTCAGTACGTGAAATCGTCCTCACTATAGTCATATGGAACTTATGGAACTGCCACAGTCCAGAGCCTTTGCGTTGCTCCAAAACCGTCTTTTCCGTAAGAACAACTCCACAAGCCCTAAGAAGGCCTCGCTCTGCTTCTGTCGAAGCTCCGGAGTCGAAACAAAGAGAGCCAGAGCCTCCGTTACACACTGCGCTCTTTTGGTGTGTGAAAGTCATATTCATTTTTGCCAGAGAGTCTCAGAACCAACTCGCCGAGCCAGCTTGCGCTTTTGTGCTGGCTCAGCTCAGACGAACTCGACTCGACCACTGTGTCAGTGTAAGTGGCGTCTTCATGCGACCAGTCTTTGACCGTCGTCATATGCCCTGCGCTGCTGCGTTGTCTTCCCAAGCGCTCCAGCCATCCCATTCTTCTGCGCCTACGTAACCTACGTAATTAGTCGTTCAATGTCGTTCATACTGTCATGCCATCCCTCTCTTCCAGATCATTCCATCGCTCAGTGAGCACACGTTTCTTGCATTCGGGCATCAAGTGATTCGGTGATTCACGAAGCAAACGTCATTTCCAACCTTTCTTTCTTTTACCTTTTCCTGCGTTCCAGCTGAATTTTCCTTTTCATTTTCCTTTGCTCTCTCCCTTTCCTTCCATTGTCTGCTATACCTTTCAGCCTCCGGTGTCCTTTGGAACACATCAGTCCTCGAGTTCGATGCATTGCGTGTGGATTTGCGAAATGTTCGAACAGCATCAAAAAAATCTGAATCAGTGCATCGCCTTGTCATGGCGATTTCTTCCAATGAAGTCAGACCGTTCTCCCAAAATGTTCTGGCCTCGGTCTGAAAGGATCGTGCAGCACCATCAGTGTTTTGTGCAACTCCGTTGCCTGCTGAGGTTACCACATGTTACCACTTTCATGTCGCTCCTTCCACTCGAAAGCTCCAGTCGATGCATCGAGAGCAGTTTTGGTGTCAGTTCTTATCGATGTTTTTCGCATGCGGCCATCAGTTTCACGTCTGTTTTATACAGTCGGATATGTGCTGTCTTCATTTGCCAAGACCAGTCTTCCAACCCATCCAGTTCACCTGAAAACGTTGGAGAAAACAAGCTGACACCACATCGTCACCTAGTCCTTTCAGTTCGGGTGCAGCTAGTTAGTCACACCTGGTTCTCACCATGCTCCGCTTCTCGGGAACCGCAGAGGGGTCAAAAAGCCAAAAAGCTGCTGTGAGGACCCATTCAAGGGCCCGTTTGGGGAGAATCGATCTCGACCTCTGCGGAGCAGCGGCCCTCAACTTGTTTGCGGACGTTGATATTCAAGGCTTTGCGGTTCCGAAGGCCTTCACCGCAGCACTCGGCACTGACTGGATCAAGGACGCCATCGAGGATTCGACGCTGGTCTGACTTGAGATATTTTTCCCCGCATTGAATCCATTGAAGTAGCAATTTAAAAAACACCCTGCAAAGCCAGAAGCTTGCCATGGTGATGCCCCATTTTGCCCCTAACCGAACCAGAAATTTCAGGCCTTGCGGCACGGGCCGGCCTGGCCGCCAGTAAAAGTTAGCAACTACCATTTCCATTTTCTAACCATGCACCACCCCCTAGCACCCAAACCATAACAACCTATGCCTCAACCCCCAACTCACCCAAAATACCCAACCCAACACCCACCTCAAAAACCCATACCATGGAAATCCATGGAACCACCCACACCCCCATAGAAAAACCCCAACCTCAACCCCAGGAAACTGTATCTGCAACACAACCTAGGCCCGTAGGTGGTTAGAGGCAGCACGTGATTGGGAAGAAGAGGCGCTGTCAACCTCAACCCCATAGACCCGCACCCCCATAGAAAAACCCATAATGCCCAACCCAAAGCCCCTAACCTTCAAAATGGAAATGTTAATCTCTAATACGAATGCACTCAATCGAAGATTGAGTGCGCGCCTGCTGCTGCATCACGCTGTTGCGGGAATTGTGTCGACTTGGAACCATCGTCTTGACGAGTGATGAAGATTCAATATTCGCGGTCTTGCGAAGAATAAATTATCTATACTAGGGATAAGGCTTAGGAATAAGGCAGGAAACAAGCATCCCGTCATCCTGCCAATAACGGCGGACTACCACAACAACATACAACAACCACGACTACGACGACTACCGCTTCATCGCAAGGACAGACTGCTTTGTTTTACGGTTGCATCCAGACATGTGAAGCAGTGGTGCGCTCATCAGTTCTGATTGCATTGGTTGAAAAAGCATCCAGCATTCGGGCGTTCCCAGTCGCCATTTTGGTTGACCCACGAGGTGTTCAGTCTTAGTCTTTCTTCATCCGTTGACCCTCTCGACCCAGAGTTTGAGCAAATCAACGATGCCGAGAAAGCAATCACTACAAGCAAGGTGTTGGTTTTGCCACTGCTAGAGAAGGTGTATATCAGGGAATTCACAGCAACGGGGAATAGTCACATTTCCCACCAACGTATGACCGACCTCATTGAAAATCGGTATGGTGAGTTTGCCGAGCAAATTTCGACAACGTGAAATTCGTGAAGAGGCTTTGCGCATAGTTGCTGAGCAACAGCAAGCGCGTGCTGCAAATGCTGTGACCTGTAAGGCGGGTTCCTCGTAGAATATTCCACTACGCGCAAGCTACTTACCCAGCACTCACCCAACCCCATGCTCCTGCGGCTCGAGCAACTTCTGCGTCCTCCAAGGAAAAGCACGCCGGGTACCCCCCCTCCACCCCCCTGCCCGTGGTGTGGGGAGGGAGTCAGCCCCAAACACCCCAAAACCCCAAGAACGAGTCCAGGCTTTGGGTTTTTTTTCATGGGGTCCAAGGCTCATGCAGGCTTCCCTATATACTCTCCAAGGATTCTGCAAGGTGCAGAGGCTCTCATCCAGTTCCTCTTTGCTTCCACTGGTGCCCAGTGCATCCCTGGGGCCGCATCTGTTGTCGATGCCATCGGAGATGCGGCTGCAGCTGCTTCCGGACAAAGTCTAGAGATGTTCAGGGTCGAGGGCTTGGGACGTTGGCGAGCGGCGTAGGGTTTAGGGTTGAGGGCCAGTTTAGGGTTCAGGGTTGGGCTTACGGTTTTTACTCTAGGCTTTGGGGTTTAGAGTAGCAGAGTTGCGGAGATGTACTTGCTTTAGTCTCTACAGGGCTCGAGGGCGCTTGGGCTTCGCGCGCAGGATTCATCACGGGCCTCATCCCAAGCTTGAGCTTGGACTTCTCGACGCCTTCCATGCAGCTCTTGGCCCCGAGGAAGCTGTACCTTTGGCCCTATAAGGTCTTGTTTCGTAACTGCTCAATTTTGTCGAGTATTTTATGTCAAAAGCACACGTGCCTCCGGGGGGTAGTAGGTATGTCTTCCAGCATTTTGGTCAGAAGCACCCGGCATTCTGTGGTCGGACGCACACGTACCTCTTTCGTTAGGGAGTTATCTGTTCGGCAGTTGTCGGTCAGCCCACGGGACGCTTGGACATGTCAGCAATCAAGGTGGTGCGCGACGGTGTACAGGACGCCGGGATTCGATACAGCCCCCTGTGCCGCGGAGCCTTGGAACTTTGGAACACAAGGTCGCAAGGTGTTGGAGAGATTTCATATACAGGTTTCATAAACTTATGAAACTAACCATTGACACTATGTTTAAGCACAGCTTGGTTTCGCAACTTGCTTGGAAGCAACAGCCGAAATCATAACGATCGCAATCCACACGCCCTAGCTACACGTTAAGGGGAGTGGCGTCTCAGAACCACATGCGATTGGCACTATTTTGCATCTCGAAACGGAGGGAGCAGCAGAGGAGCTTGGGTGCAAGTTGGCCGGCAGACCGCCTGAACCGTCAGTGACCATACTCCCGGCATCACAGGTCACGGAATCGGTCACCGGGCTCTTGTGGTAACTTGTGGTACATTTCTTGTCTTATTGTCTATATGCCGCGAGAATGTCCCAGCTGGGGTTCATGATAGAGTTCTCGGTTCCCACTCTTCGCCAATGGGACCGTCCAACCCAGCTCAGGTTGTGAGTTCGGGGAGTTCGGGAGCCTGCTATTCAATACCCATGGGCCGCGCCTTCATTCAGATTGGCGAGTCCTGGCCGTGTTGGAAACGTGTTGTCCTCAGCAGAGACGCAGGGGAAGGGAGGTCTTCGGTAGGTCAAGGTCTTCGGTGGTGTGTTGCTGTGCTTCGTTTTTGTTCTCTTTTTCAACGCTGTTAACTGTTAACGCTATTAACACTGTTTTTCTCAACAGTCCCACCATCGTTTCTCATCTTCCCTCTCCTCTCCGGGGTCTTCCCTGGTCTCTGTCTGCTTGCGTCTCTTTATTCGCTGTTTCTTCGTTTTTCTTCTTATAGGTCTTCGGTCCGTGTGTCTTGGCTTGTTTCGTCGTTTCAGCTTTGACCCGTTTGAAGTTCTAGAAGTGACGAGGGCTTAAAGAAAAGGCTCATTCGTTTTTTATTCTGGTAGTTCGTCTTCACTTTTCGTGCAGGGTGTCGGTTGTGTTTCTTCGGCCCCTCGGTTAAAGGTCGTTGCCTTTAGTTGGGTCGTCTTTCGTAGACGAACCTAGCATATACTCTAGTCTGGTCCTCGCTGGAGTCAAACATCGACTAACTGTGCAATCAGTCTGAAGCCGTGGAAACATTAAAGGAACATTTTGGCAGGGCCACCGCAAGTTATGGATTAACCCTAGAAAACACGCAACAGTAACCAGACCGAATAGGCAAAACGAGTCGGACACCCTCTCGTTCAAAGCTAAAACGAATGCGGAAGATACAGCGAGACGCACGGACTGAAAACGAGCAAGGTGACACGAAGAAAAAACAGATAAGGAAACCATAGAAACAATACAGACCCCAACGATGGAAAATATAAAGGAGGGAGGCGACGAGGTAAGAGAGTAACTGGGAGACGGGGTTGAAAATACAACACGAAGCAGACAGAGGCGGCAGTCTTTGTTTGTGTTTCCTTAAATCAAGGAGTGGCGCTTCGCCGCAGTTGACGCCAACCACCTTTCCTTGTCGCACAAGGCACGACTCTTTTGCCAAGATTCCCGGTGGGCGTTGCTGCGAGCATGGTTGCTGCATAGTGGTTCATGCGCAGTCACATGTATGGACACAGGGAAGCGAAGATGAACCGCAACAATCTACAGCCGAACCTGAGGGACTTGTACACTTTCTCGTAATGTGCATCCCCAGTGCATTGTCGTGCAGGTCAGTAAGACTGAGCATTGACCCATATGTTTGGGCGGGTTAAAGGTTAAACCTTCCACATTCTCTTGGCATTTGGCCTGACCGAACCAAAAGGACGTCTTGGGCGCTTATCTTGCCATTGCTCTGGCGCTGCCTGCTAAACGCGCAGCCACGGATCTTATCACCAACGAAGAGCAATCTGCTTAGCAGCCATGATACTAGCAAGAAGAACTAGATATGACCACAGCAACAAGTAGTTTAAGACAATGATGATACTAGCAAGCAATTGTTTAGTAGAGCTGATATTCAGGAAGGAAACTATTTATGCGACTCTTGGTTTGAGTATAGCCCTCTGACTCAGGGAGCGTTCGCTTTCCCGTGAGGATGGACAGACGGCCGCCATCTGGAGGCAGGATGGTTATTTCTTCTCTGGACCGCGGACGGACGCCGGGCTGCTTTAGGAACTTCAGGTTTAGGGCTGAGGATTGAGCCCCGGGCTTTGCGGCGTTCAAGTCCTGAAAGAAGTTTCCACCCACTATGCGCCAAGCATAGTGCATTGTTAATGGTGTGTATATATACATATATGTATACATACACATTTGTCAGTGTGTATATATACATATATATATATACGTATGTTTTATGTGTGTGTGTATACATCTTTATGTATGATAAAGAAATTCCTAGAGAAACAAGCATATACATACATATAAGTAAATAAATAAATATAAATACATGAATATATATATATATACATATATATATATATATATCTGCTACCCCCCCCCCCCAGCGACCTACCCTTTTTAGGCCTTTTTAGGCCTTTTTAACAAAAAATAACAAAGAAGGCCCAAAAGCCGCGTAGTTAATCACCGGGTAATGAAGGACAGTTACTGGGACACCCACCTCACAGACCCCGATAAGCCAGCATTGGAAGAATCTACATTTTGAATCTGAAGCGGACAATGCTGTTTTTAGATGTTTAGATCAGTGTTTTTCTATGCAAATTGTGCGTTTCAAGGGCAATTAATGTTTTGTTGAGCAACTAATTTATTTATACAATTGTGTTTGTACGAGGCAAAGTATTAATCAAATAGTGAAACATTTTTCTTGGTTCTCTGCGAATTTAGGTACTAGAGTTATTGTTAAGCAAAGAGCCCAATTTGACTCAAGTGAATACTATTTAAAGGAGCATACTCAACCAAGATACGAAATAAACACCATTCTCAACCAAAAATGGCAAAGTGTGCGTTTAAAGTGCAAATACTGTATTTATACAATTGTGTTTGTACTAGGCAAAGTATGCTCTCTGAAAAGTCCACTGAAATACCTTATGTTTACATATTCATGAATCGTTTTTATTTTTGAAATAATCATTTTATGCGAATTTAGCTACTAGAGTAATTATTAAGCAAATAGCCCAATTTGACTCAAGTGAATACCATTTAAAAGACCATACTCAGCCAAAATGCGAAAGAAGCACCATATTCAACCAAAATATGGCAAAGTGTGGTTTAAAGGGCAAATAGTGCTTTGTTGAGCAACTAATGCATTGAAACAGTTGTGTGTATACCAGGCAAAGCATTATTGAAGTACTATCTGCAAAGTCAAATGAAACACCTTATGTTTACATATTCATGAAACAATTTTTTTGAAGTATTCATTCTTAACTACTAGAGGAATTCTTAAGCAAATAGCCTAATTTGACTCAAGTGAATACTATTTAAAGGACCATACTCAACCAAATACGAAACAAACACTTGCGGAAATGGAAACGGTTCTACCTACATAACAATGAGACAAAGATTGCTGAAGTATTCACTAAAGACCACTTATATACTATGTCTGAAAAGCACAATTTGCATGAGCAAGCTTAAAAATGCACAATAATGGAAATAGAAGCGGTTCTACTTACATAACGATGAAACAAAGATGTCTGAAGTATTCAATAAAGACCACATATATACTATGCTTGAAAAACGCAACTTGCACAATCAGGCTTAATAAATGCACAAGAATCCTAGAAAAGTACTTAGTGAAGGCCATGCACAAGCAAATTCACAAATACATAAAAACATCCAAAAGCGCAAGCTTTTCAGGAGAATGTCTGGTAAAGTTTGGATTATAGGGTTTTGGGGTATTCCTGGACGAGTAGGAGTCACTTTTTAAGCAAACAGTTCTAAGCAATAAATGCTTTTTCTCAAGACAAGTATTGCAAATGCTGCTTCTAGATAATTAATCGCATTTACCAGGCAAATATTATCCATGCGAATTGAGCTACCAGAGCACCAAGTAATGGCTGAATAAGGTCTACTACACTTGAGTACAACCAAAAGATGCACTAAACACTAGCGGCTCTACTTACATAACAACGAAACAAATAGTTCTGAAGCACTAGAAGGACCACTTGTATACTATTTCTGAAAAGCACAATTAGCATAAGCACACTTAAAAATGCGTAGTTGTTGCCTCGTGACCGTGAAGGCGAACTAAAAAGCCAAAGTACCAAAACCAAAAAACCAAAAATACCAAAACCAAAAAAAACAAAACCAAAAAAAAACAAAACCAAAAAAAACAAAAATACCAAAAAAAACAATTTTCCGGGACTCTTGGAGAAGCCTCATAGGGATTTCCTGAGAGTCCCGGAAAATTGTTTTTTTTGGTATTTTTGGTTTTTTTGGTTTTTTTGGTTTTGGTTTTTTTGGTTTTTTTGGTTTTGGTTTTTTGGTTTTTTTGGTTTTGGTATTTTTGGTTTTTCTACTGTCCCGTGTATGCGATTTCAATTGTATTTTCGTCTACGCCCTAGGAAATAAGCTATGTTGCACACCGAGTTTGCTTGCAGTGCAGCTGGGTGACTTGAGACAAGGCGAAAAAGGGTAGGTCACTGGGGGGGGGGGGGGGTACCGTATATATATATATATATGTATATATGTATATACGCTACGTACATACATGTGTAGGTTCTGAGGGCTTTTGGGAGGCAAACCACGAGCCCAGTAGGAAGATGACATAATGATGAATGGGACTAGTGGTAACAATAGGGACTACTACTATAGCTGCTATTCTTGAATAATGGCTACTCTTAGTAAGTATGAACAGCGCTCATGCATAAGACACAGAGAAATACCAGTAAGATGGAGAACAGAACATTTGATGAGTAGTTTTAATCATGCAATAAAGTTCTTCCAAGGACTGGGGCGGCTGGGACAGAGCGATCGGCCCGTCCGAGTGGGTAACCTTTGGCTTTCAGTACATCGAGGAACGACGCCTGCAATACTGTACTGTATCTTACGTGTATCGTATTTACTACATTCTATTTTCGTTTACAGTAGATCATCTCGAAAGGAGTATGCTCGAGTGCAAACCAGTACTGACCCTACAGAAGCCTGCCTTCGCCCTTCAGATTGGATTTTTTCGCCTGGCAGCTATAGACAACTATCACTTCTCGATCTCACACAAGAGTGGAAACACGGAGCCTGGGAGTTCTAGAACATTATTGTGAATATTTTGGGTGGGCTAACTTCGTCTAACTTCAATATTTGGTGTACTGGCTTCTACCAGCAGCCTTGCGCCCCTTCAAGATGTCTCAGGTGCAGATCTTTAGGTACGATGGCGTGACATTTGATGGTCCCAGAGCGGACTGGGGGAGCCAGTCACGCCCAGAATCTGCACCTGTCAACATTTACGTGGGTGAAGGCTTCTACGTTGGATTCAACAGCTGTTTGTCGTTTGTTGGGGGCTGGGGGAGGGGGGGGGGGGCTGGGGGAGGGCGGGGGGGAGGGGAGGCCCTAAAATAAACATTCCCTTAGAGGCCCGTAGGTGTGTTAGCCCTCGTATGAACGATTTAGTGTTTCAGCTCGCCGGCCCTTGCCTCGTTTCTGTAGGACAGGAGTTGCTCTGACTACAAGACAAGCTCCCCCAATATAGAATGAAGAACTGGGAATGTTTTTTCGATTCTCTCTCCTGCATAGTATCTCAGGAATCCAGGTTTCTATAGAAGTACTCACGTTCTATTCAGTCAGGCTTCAAACTGTTTTGGTTTCTGTTTCCAACCCATCAAAACCTCCATCTTCTCGGCCGAGATTTCCTGCAGCTGGGATGGTTCCGCCTTGGACAGAAGCTTACAGGCGGCAACATGAATTTTGCGATTGCCCACAAGGACGGACGCTTGGAAGAGTTCATATAGATCTATGCCAAGTAGATCGGTTTGGTCTGCATTCAGGCCCCTAGCAGCACTAGGGGGCATGAGAACAAGTGCTGCCCAGAACTGTCTGCATGCTCTCTCTTTTTTTCCCTCTCTCCCTCTCTCCCTTTCTCCCTCTCTCCCTTCCCTCTTTCCCTCTTTCCCTCTCTCCCTCTCTCCTTCTCTCCCTCTCTCTCCCTCTCTCTCCCTCTCTCCCTCTCTCCATCTCTCCCTCTCTCTCCATCTCTCTCTCCCTCTCTCTCCTTTTTTCTCTCTTTCTCTCTTTCTCTCTTTCTCTCTTTCTCTCTTTCTCTCTTTCTCTCTTTCTCTCTTTCTCTCTTTCTCTCTTTCTCTCTTTCTCTCTTTCTATCTTTCTCTCTTTCTCTCTTTCTCTCTTTCTCTCTTTCTCTCTTTCTCTCTTTCTCTCTTTCTCTCTTTCTCTCTTTCTCTCTTTCTCTCTCTCCCTCTCTCTTTCTCTCGTTCTCTCGTTCTCTCGTTCTCTCGTTCTCTCTTTCTCTCTTTCTCTCTTTCTCTCTTTCTCTCTTTCTCTCTTTCTCTCTTTCTCTCTTTCTCTCTTGCTCTCTTGCTCTCTTGCTCTCTTGCTCTCTTGCTCTCTTGCTCTCTTGCTCTCTTGCTCTCTTGCTCTGTTGCTCTCTCGCTCTCTGGCTCTCTCGCTCTCTCGCTTTCTCGCTCTCTCGCTCTCTCGCTCTCTCGCTCTCTCGCTCTCTGGCTCTCTTGCTTTTTGCTCTCTTGCTCTCTTGCTCCCTTTCTTTCTTTCTCTCGTTCTCTCTCACTCTCTCTCTCTGTCTCTTTCTCGTTCTTTCTCTCTCTCTCTCTCTGTCTTTCTTGCTTTCTTTCTTTCTCTCTCTCTCTCTCTTTCTCTCTCTTTCTCTCTCTCTCTCTCTCTCTCTCTCTCTCTCTTTCTTTCTGTGGCACACTCAGACGAGCATCGCAAAACCAGATACTGTTTCCAAAGTTCCTTTTTGGCTCATTGGTCGAAAATCCACAGCCACGACCACTCCCGCTGCCGAGGGCACCACCTCCCCCTCTCCCTCCCAGAGGTGCAGCTGGCGCATCCACCCCGACCCCCTCTGCCTGCGCCCTCATCCACTCCCTCCGTTGAGGCTCAGGCCTGTCAGGTCGGCCCAGACATATATTGCTCGAGCAGCATACCGATATATCAGAAAGGAGCATCTGCGCGTTGCACGAAGCACGGTCTGTGTTGCACATGACATTTGAGCGATGCATGTTGTGAGAACCAACGAGCTTCAGGGGAAATAGAGCGTCAGGGGTTCGGTGAGGACGCCCAGGAGCTTGGCTCTTCCCCAGAGTCCGTCCCAGGAAAGACGCTGGAGATGTGGAGCGAGCCTGGCCAAAGGTACACAGACGTTGCTGGTGGGGCCCCCAAGACGCTGGGGGGCTGAGGCTGTAGTCGTAGTAACATGTCAGTGTTCTTGATGTCATGGGTTTGAGTTTCAGGTTGATGGCTTGTGGTTGCAGTATCTGAGACGTTCTTGTCTATCTTCAGTGTGGTTGCATGAAGACAACGAGTTACGAAAACACAGCAAAATCCGAATGCAATATAGAAGCGCTGATGATTGGGAATACTATTAAACCGCCGTGAATAGTTTTTTGAAACCTATATTTCCAAATATTCAGGTTCCGAAGAGTTCATTAAATCCTTACATCTAATTCGCAACTGGAGCAGAGCCCTATTCATCTACGACTTTAGGATTTAGCCCCGTGTGCCTTTCCAGATCACTACGCCGTAACTTTTTGGTCACGAAGCGCGGCTTCGTGGACATGCGAGGACCGTTACTGCTCGAGGGCCAATATTTCAACACACAGTTTGCTGCAGATGGGCGCAAGGTAAACTGGGTTTCGTTGTCAAGAGTCCAAGCAGGGCACATTCCTATTGCCCTCAACACTTATTGCATAAGATTTTTTGAGTTTTTGCTGATGGTGATTATTATTATTAATATTATTCTTATTATTTTTGTCATGGTTGTTACATGTTGTTACTATTATTTGCGTTCTGTCTGTTACTATTAATGTTGGACCCTGTTTAGTAGGGGCCTCCCCTTTAAAGTCAATTTGGCCGACTTCTTCAGGATCCCCTCACTGTTTGCGGGTCCCTCTTTAAAGTCAAACGGTTCCCGAAATCCGGCATTTTGCTTTTAAGATTTAGTGCTTGTTTCGGCCCGGCATAAAGCCGGGCCTTATGATTTTAAAGCCGGACCTTGCGATTTTAAAGGCCAACCTCATCCATTCCAACCGGCCCGAAACCATTAATTTCCTTCAAGAAACCATTCGAAAACTTGGTTTCGTTCAGTCCGACAAGGGGGTGGTCCAGGGGCCGGAGGCTCCGAATTTGGATGCCTTGGTCTCTTGGCTTAAAGCCGGGCCTTATGATTTTAAAGCCGGACCACCTCATCCATTCCAACCGGCCCGAAACCATTAATTTCCCTTAAGAAACTATTTAAAAAATTGGTTTCGTTCAATCCGACAAGGGGGTGGTCCAGGGGCCCCCTCCGACCCTCATAATGGGACTGATTTGGGACCCTGTTTAATGTCCAGGCCCCGGCCCGGAGGCTCCGAATTAGGAAAGAGCCTATGGATCCCTTTTAAATTCATATAAACTTATCCCGGATCCCTTTCGATTCGCGCGCACCCCTTGAAATTCATAATTCATCCCTTTTAAATTCATATGGATCCCTTTTGAATCTATCTAAACTCATCCCGATTAAAATCATATAAAATCCCGGGGCCCTTTAATCAGGATCCCATCCACGCCTCGACCTTGTCAGGGGGGGAGGGGCCCCACACATTAAAGAGGGTCCCACATTACTTCTCTCATGGCTGTATTCTTCCTATGAACACCAGCATCATTACATTTGGTTTCTTTTTAAGTAGAGGTACACACATTTAGCGTTTCTGTGGACCGGAGGTTCACTGCGGCTGGGTGATTTGAGTCTTTTGGGGCGCAGTTCCACGCACACCCAGCTAAGACCCTAAGACTGTCTTCCATTCATTCTTGACAAGAAGGGGGCTCGTTGGAGGTTCTGGCACAAGAAGGGGGCTCGTTGGAGGTTCTGGCCTTAGAGAGAATGTAAGAGGGTTGAAGGGCTTAGCATCTTAAGTCTACAGGGTTATTGATCGAATTTGTTGGGTTCTGCTATGTTCTGCTGGCTTTCCATCCCAGTAGATGCTCTCGGTCAGCGCGTGGACGGGACGATTTTGGCCAGCTCGGCGATGTGCCCGACACGCACGGGTACCTCAAAGCCCGAAAAGCCCTTCCGTTGGGTTTGTTTTGTTGCTGCCGGAGCCTGTGATTCAGGCCTCCTTTGAAATATATTGGAGAACGCCATGATAGTCCTCCCATCTTGGAGCCATTCGAAAACACGAATCGTACTACACTCCCTTGTGCGTCATCATGTGCGTGCACTGGGGTTGTGGAAGGGGTTCATTGCCGTTTGTTGCGCCGCGCCAGGGGGGCAACCTGAAGATCAGCTTGAAAGTTTTTGCGGGGGTTTGTCCTGTACCGTTCAGTGAGCCCGGACCCCAAACTTCAAGGCAAGTGGACAGTTGGGAATGTCATTCCCTTACAGTTCCTGTTTACGTACAAAAATCTTTACGTACTAACATACACACACAGTATTCAGGTGCCTATCTTAGTCCATGGTCCATCTTGACCCTGAAGACCAACTCGATCCCAAAATCCAACAGTCAAACCGTGAATCCTCTACCTTACTGCCCCATTCCCAACCAAAATTAGAAAATATTATATTGGAAGCCTGAAGAAGTTGTAGTCTTTAAGCTGCTATATCATATGACTATAAAGGATTTTAAGTGATAACGTTCTTTCTGAAGCGCAGCCCCAAAGCTTCGTCGTAGAGCACCGGGCTCCGGTAGGACATCGCCCAGATGGCCCACGGACCGTGTGGAAGTTTTGGCCTTGGCTTTGGTGACCCTCCGATGTGTTCAGATTTCGGATTTCGGATTTCAGATCATACGGGCAGAAGAAACTGAAAAGAACTTCTGAGAAGAACTTGAACCTGAATTTGACTCGTGATTAAGTGTTCTGAGCTCTGGGAGATTCATACAGGCAGGCCTTTTTTACTCGCGCCAAAACGTGTTCAAGTTCAAATTTTTACAGCCTGTATAAGCCCTAAACCCCGAAAGCAGCCAAGGATCGCTTCATCCGGGTGGGCGACTGGCGGATTGGCGCGCTCGATTCAGAGCGCTTTGCAATCGTGCACAAGGATCCCGGGACCTGGTCCCGATGAGGATTGTATTCCTTTCTTTTCTTTGGAGGTTCTTTAAGTATATACATCATACATGCAGAGTATACTTACTGCAGGAAAAGGATTCCAGCTGGGGTAACAGGGGCCCAACAACCTACCATTGGTTCCCTCAAAGCGCTTGGCTCAACAAGAGCAGCTTAGGGTTTGGGGCCTTAAAGTTGCCAAAACCCTTGGCCCATCTGTTCCAGTTTCAGAGAGGACGGACAAACACCCGCGATTTTTGGGGCCGACGGAGCTATGGCATACCAGCAAGGCGACTCTTGGCTGGTTACTTGGTGCTAGGCTCGTGCACTGCTCCTGCTGCTGCTGCTAACGTGGCTGCTACTGCTACTGCTACTGCTACTACTGCTACTACTGCTATTGCTGCTACTACTGCTGCTACTACTACTACTACTACTACTAATACTACGACTACTACGACTACTACTACTACTATTACTACTACTACTACTACTACTACTACTACTACTACTACTACTACTACTCCTACTCCTACTACTACTACTACTACTACTACTACTACTACTACTACTACTACTACTACTTCTACTATACCACTACCACTACCACTACCACTACCACTACCACTACCACTACCACTACCACTACTACTACCAGAACTCGTACTCGTACTAGTACTAGTACTAGTACTACCACCTACTGCTACCACCTCCTACTACTACTACTACTACTACTACTACTACTACTTAGTAGTAGTAGTAGTAGTAGTAGTAGTAGTAGTAGTAGTAGTAGTAGTAGTAGTAGTAGTAGTAGTAGTAGTAGTAGTACTGCTACTGCTACTGCTGCTGCTGCTGCTGCTACTACTACTGCTACTACTACGACGACGACCTACTACTACTACTAGTAGTACTAGTACTACCACCTACTACTACTACTACCACCTACTACTGCTGCTGCTGCTGCTGCTACTGCTGCTGCTGCTGCGACGACTACGACGACGACTACGACGACTATGTCTACTAATTCTACTTCTACTTCTACGATTACTATTGCGACTAGTCGTACTACGACGCTTGCCACGACGACTGTACAACTACGACCACGACTACGACAGCTACGCCGACACTAATTCCAGTATATCTGATAATTCTCTATCGTTACTGCTGCTACTCTTCGTATTACGCCTGCATTTACGTCGTGGCTCTTGCCGGCGGTCCGCAAAGCGAGCCAACTGCCGAAGTGTACCTTGACCTTCTTGAAAGGGCCAGCAGCGCACGCGCCCGGCTCGCTGGACCACACACCTAAGTCAATGCTTTCCCCGAACAGCCCCTAACTTGTAGGCAAGCCTGCCTATACAGGTTTTGGCTCGTGAGCCGAAACACTTGTTGGCACACAGTACAGGCACTTTGCCCAAAAAAGTATCAGCAAAGCAACGACTCAACAGCGTGAAACTTTAGATTCGGTTCTAAAGCACATCAGAGCTGTGGGCCACAGCAAAACCCACATACTGTTTGGCGACGGCTAACAGCAGCTTTACTGCCGACTACGGTGACTACAACGACGACTATTGCCTTGTCCTGCACCGGACTATTGGAGTTAGGTTTTTCGGGATCCTACGGCTTACTACGTCTCAACTATGGCTGAGCCGTGAGAGTGTTAAGTGTGATAGAAAACTCTGAAGACTGGGCTGTGTTCGGAAACCCAACAAACGGCTGCCCACCAAGGTCGCTGGTGCCGGTCTCTGGAGCAGACCTGAAGGTCTTCGGGCTTGTTTGGGACGGGCCAACCGCGGAAGCACCCCTTGCCGGGCCCAGTGTAGCTTCAGAAGATGGCTCAAAACATGATGCAGTCGTCTGCAAATATGGCCGCAGCAACCCTTGCGAAGTCTTGAGCTGTGGGCTTCCCGTGGGCTTGTTAACAGCAGGGTTGGCCCGCGTGCATTTAGTCAGGGCTCACATGGAGAGACACGGCATAAATCGGGATTGATCCTGGTTTTGCAAGGTCGCTCGCTGAACAAATCAATCCCAACAAGAGAGGGGAAGGGTCAAAGTCGGGTTCAATCTGAGGGCAGAGGGCCCCAAGCCCGAACGCGAAAGAACACTCTCACGGACTTTTTCCATCTTGAGCCAACAGTGACAGCAAGGCTAATTACTGCTTTCAGGTAGTATGATTACACAAGGGAAGATCAAGATTTCTCAGCTTGGCCGCTCTCAACCTTGACCCCTGAATCCTAAAGCTCTTCTTTTCCTGAGGCTTCCCCGCAGGGATCACCATGGGCCCGGGCTTTCTCCAGTTCGGTAACTTCCGACTGGCCGCGATGGATGATTGGCACATGTCCGTCTCACACAAGGACCTTCCGGACCGCCTAAACCCCGAAACACTAAACCTTGGCTTGCCAACAGCCACGCAAACATGGGGTTGTTAGATTTTAAGCTCAACTCTTCTCCGCGCCCGGTACTCTTCTCCTCGCCCGGTCTACTCCTAGAGACCCGCCCAACCCCAGACCCCTAGAGTGCCCAACCCCGTCTCCCTGCCCCCTGGATTGCCCTTTTTAGAGTTTTCTTGGAGTGCTGGAGTAGTCTCCCTGTGCCCCCTGGAGTGCCCAACCCAGAGTCTCCCGGTGCCTCAGTCTGGCGTTGGGCTCCCCAGAGTCCCAAACCCCACAACTCCCGCCTGGTTCAGAGTCTTCAGACTCCCTGGTCTGGAGTGCCCAACCCCAGAGACTCCCTGAAATGCCCAACACAACAGAGACTCCCTGGAGTGCCACTGGAGTGCCTAACTCCAGAGACTCGCTGGAGTCCCAGAGACAGCGCCCAACCCCAGAGATTTCTGGAGTGCCCAGCCACCAAGACTCCCTGGAGTGCCTAACCCCAATTGCAAGCAAAAACTAAGAAAGCGTATTTGAATCAATGTGTCTTTGTTATGTTCAAACAAAGACACATTGATTCAAATACGCTTTCTTGGTTTTGCTTGCAATTGGGGTTGGGCACTGTCTCTGGGGTTGGGCGCTCCAGGGAGTCTCTAGGAGGCGAGGAGAAGAGTTCCGGGCGAGGAGAAGAGTCGAGAGTAAAATCTAACAACCCCACACCGAAGGTGGGGAATTATAAGCTCTTTCATGAAAGTTCAGTTTTGTAGACTTTATTTTATATATATAGGGCGGACGTCAAAATACCATGTGTGTAAAATATGATGGAAGTGCGATATGAAGTTCCGCTCTTGCTGGCTTATGTCTTCGCCACAAGGCGGCACCATGCGTATATGCAGGTTTCGGGCTCTCCCCCACGCAAGCGCTCATAGGGCTAGTGTGGCGCTAGGTATTCCCTTCCAAAGCTGACATGGAATGAGCTGAGGATGCTGATGCTTGCTTGCGAAGCATGAGCTCCAGTAGTTCCGAAGACGACGCCTGAGTCTTAAAATGAAGGCGCTAGTGTGTTTTGCGAGGTTTTGCATAGGGTACAAAATTAGTACTATACTTCTGTACTTGACAAACCCATCGTTCCCGACCTTATTAATCCTTTTCGTCATAAGGTGGCACCATGATTTTTTTCAGCGTCCGCCGTTCCTGGAAGAAGGAATATTGACAGCCGCCCATATATATATATATGTACGGTAGACCTTTATGCATTTGACGGCTGCTTGCTGCTATGTACTTGTTCCAAATTTTCAAGATGTTTAAAGATCTTTAAACGAAAGTTTTTTAAAATTTAGAAAAATTGAAAAGGAATTTTTCACATTTTCTAAATTGTCAAAATTTTCGCGTTTAAAGAATATTGAAAATTTCAAAAGTTGAGAAAAAAAAGCTTTTCAAATAGTTTTCACCTTTAAACAAATTTTGAGAATTTTGAAAAATTGAAAACCTGAATCGGCCTGGACCGCTCAGGCTCCGGGAATTTTCCCGAACGGTTTAAAATTTAAAAATTGTAAATTTAAAACAATTTGAACAATTCGAATAAAAGCTTTTCAAATTTCAATTTTCGCCTTTAAAAGATTTTTCGGAAAAATTGAAAAAATTGAACAAAGATTTTCAAATTTTCAAAACTTTCAAAATTTTCGCCTGTAAAAAGATTCAGGTTTTTGTTGCAAAATTGAAAAACTGAATCGGCCTGGACGGCTCATGCTCCGGGAACTTTCCCGAACGGTTTCACATTTAAAAAATGGTAAATTTAGAACAATTTGGACAATTCGAATAAAAGCTTTTCAAATTTCAATTTTCGCCTTTAAAAAATTTTTTCAAACTTTTGAGAAATTGAGAAAATTGAACAAAGCTTTTCAAATTTTCAACACTCTCAAAATCTTCGCCTGTAAAAAAAATCAGATTTATTTTTGCAAAATTGAAAAACTGAATCGGCCTGGACGGCTCATGCTCCGGGAACTTTCCCGAACGATTTACTGTACAGTTTTAGTTTTTTTAATTTTCTAAATTTTGTTAAAGGCGGAACTCTGGAAAATTTTGAACATTTGAAAAGCTTTTTTTCATTTAAATATTCTGAATGTACAAAATTTTTGGAATTTTTAATCGTTCGGGAAAGTTCCCGGAGCCTGGGCCCCTCCAGGCCGATTCAGTTTGTCAAGTTTTCAAAATTTTCTGAACTCCTTTTAAAGGCGAAAATTTAGAAATATTGAAAATTTGAAAAGTTTTTTCTCTCAATTTTTCAAATGTTCAAAATTTTCAAAATTTTTAAACTGTTAAATCGTTCGCGAAAGTTCCCGGAGCCTGAGCCGTCCAGGCCGATTCAGTTTTTCAAGTTTCAAAATTTTTTTAAAGGCGAAAATTTTGAAAGTTTAGAAAGCCTTTTTTTCCATGTTTTCAAATTTTCAAATTTTCTAAATTTTAAGTCGTTCGGGAAAGTTCCCGGAGCCTGAGCCGTCCAGGCCGATTCAGTTTTTCAATTTTTTAACCTTTTCAATATTTTTGTAGAGGCGTAAAATTTGGATAAGTTAGAAAATTTGAAAAGCTTATTTGTGCAAATTGTCAAAAGTTTTTTAGATTTTTAAATCGTTCGGGAAAGTTCCCGGAGCCTGAGCCGTCCAGGCCGATTCAGTTTTTCAAGTTTCAAAATTTTCTGATTTCTTTAAAGGCGAAAATTCTGTAAATTTGAAAAGCTTTTTTGTCTAATTTTTGAAATTGTCAAAATTTTCAACTTTTTTAAATTTTAAATCGTTCGCGAAAGTTCCCGGAGCCTCGGCCGTCCAGGCCGATTCAGTTTTTCAGTTTTTTCAACATTTTCAATATTTCTTTAAAGGCGCAAGTTTTGAAAATTTGGAAAATTTGAGTTTTTTTTTGTAATTTTTCGAATTTTCAAAAATCTCAATTTTAAATCATTTTGGAAAGTTCCCGGAGCCTGAGCCGTCCAAGGTTTTAAACGTTCACATGGCAACAAGCAGCCTAGAAGATTGCAGCGATCATAAATCCTACCTCAAAGTGGAGGCAACTTAAAAATTGGGTTATGGGAGTTATAGGGTTTAGGGTCTAGGGTTCAGGTCTGGTTTGTTTCACAAATGCAGCTGGCCAGATTGCTCGGAGCCCCATATTCAAAAAGGGTTAGTGAACCCTAAGACCCTATAGCCTAAACCCCGAAGCCTAAACCACTGTCGTACCATCAATCAGCCCTGCCTGCGGTTCCAACCCACATATATATATATATAGATATACCTACCTACACATCCCCCCCCCTCCTACAAGCCACCCCTAAAAACTCACCCTTTTAGAGACTCCCTTTTTCTGTTTGGCTGTCATTTTCCAAGCATTTTGACGTGTAGAAGAACGGACTGTTCTTGAACCTTATAACCCTAAACCCTAAACCACAGCGTGGAGCACCTTACTATTTTTAGGGCTCCTCAATGAAGGACGGCCAAACTTCGTACATTTGGAGAGGCACCGACGGCACAGTGCACCCAGGGCCGCGCACCGAATCTCGTATGTTGGCTCAGTGTTGAGGGGCTTTACAGGGGCTTTAAGAGTCAAAGCTTGAGTCGGTTAAGAGTCGTTTGTGTAGAAATTTTGGGAGTCCGGAGGGTGTTTAGGAGTCGGTTATTTTACTGAGTTTCTAGAATCGAAGATTTTTTGTTGGGTTCGCGATCTGCGCGGCTTTTCAGCAGGGGCTGTGAAGTGAGACGCCAAAGCCACCCTCATTTCTTTATCCGCGGCAGAAGAGGGACGCCAAAGCCCACCTTCATTTCTTTATTATGTGGAACGTACGTCGAGTTCTGGCCCGCACTTCTGTCTGTAAGGCCTTCGGATTTTTGCATGTGCCGTGGAAGTCAGAGTTTAGGGATGTGTCGGTCTAAGGATTTAGGGTTTAGGGACTTGGGAGATTTTGGGGACTTGGGATTAAAGAGTTTAGGGATGTAAGCGTTTATGCATGCAGTCATAGCGACACTTGGGAGGCGAAACACGGCAAGCAGGGCAGCAACGAAAGAAAAACTTATACATCTTGGGGAGAAGAGAAAGCGAACCCACAACGGTATACATCACAGGGGTTCGAACGATGTAGAGATGAAACATTTCCAGCTCCGACCCGCTGCACGTTTTGAAAGGATATCCCGGGTTGCAGTGTAGACGGTGCGATACTGATTGAAGGAGACGGCATCGAATGTCAAACATTTGTTTGGTTCTATCAAAGCCAGCTGATACCCCATGGTGTTTCACGAACCATAGTGCAGAACAGTGTCAACTCTTCCGAAAAGGACTGTCTGCATAGACGCAGCGACGGAAGCTCATGCACAAAAGCAGTGCCAGTAGGAGACTTCACCTAAAGGGTACGCGCTCCGGTGGCCACCATGCCACAGTGGAACCACCCAGCCAGCGCAATCAACGAAATGGACATACAACTCCGCAAGACTGACTGGCGGGGACAGAATCTTTGCGGGTGAGCACCATTGGTAATTTTTGGCTGCGAAATCAGCATTCACTCCCCAGATTCCAGAGCGCGGCTTTTTGAGCACTCCTCGTGCAGTTAAGTTAAGTGTTCAGGCTGTTCAGGCCAGTGCGTAACTTCAACGGGGAATTGGGCCCGGACTCCTGCGAAAGCGCACTGAAAAAGGAAATGTTGTTGGGAATCCTGCTTGCAGTACCGACCTGTAGTTTCGGCGTGATGCAAAAACGTTTTCTTTTGGTGCATAAACATCGTGGCTCCAGCTTCCGGAAATGACCAGAGGAACATTAGCCAGGCCCTGAGATAAAAGAAAAGCAAGAACAAGAAGTCAATCGTAGCAAGGCTCCCGATTTTCGAGACGAGGACCCGCCAAAGGGCCAAAGGATGCTTCTGCAAAGAAAAGAATAAGTTTGACGAATATCTATATCTCTATATATCTATATCATATACTTATATCTATATCTATATCTATATCTATATCTATATCTATATATATATATATCTCTCTCTCTCTTTCTATCAATATATACGAATTTTCCAATGACTGCATGAAGTCAGCAAAATACCTGAACGGTCCCGTCGCCGATCGTTTCAAGGCATAGTCCGGCGGTGTCAGAAAACACACGGGTCTAAAACACACGGGTCTCTCACATAAGCCCGTCGCAAAGTGCGGGAACGCAGCATGGCAACCAAAATAACAGGCTCATAGACATCAGTTGCCCCAAATATTGGAGCCAGAAAGTAGTTACGATGATGATGGGAGCCCCACACTACCGCTGAAAAATCTGACCTCAGCTGCGCAAGAAAGGACGCCGACTGTTCATGCCAACGCTACTCCAAGTAGCAGCGTGTAACCCATCGTGAACCTTGAGGCGGCGTCGCAACCCATCAAGGAAAGCAACATAACTCGCAACCAATCTGGGGGACCTGCTTGCAATCTGCTCGCCCTGCTTCTGAGGGCGGCGCGGAAGCCTAAAAACGCAGCCCACCGGCCTACTGTCCAAGTAAACTGAAGATGGCTGAGACACCCCAATCGGTCCGCAAGGGCCACCACATTTTGCTGTAAGGTATTACAAGACTTATAAGCCTTGCTGAGATCAAGCGAACATCCGTATACGGGATTCCTGGATTCCAGCGCTTCCTCACGGCTTGCAATTCCGTCTTCACATGAGCGTCTGGGATCGTCCGGGCCCGCTTCCAAACACAGCTGGCATTAGAGGATGGCGCCAACGATGTTCTAGATTTTATGCTGGTTTTGAAATGGTTTTGAAATGGTTTTGAAATGGTTTTAACCCCAAATTCAATTTACAAAGGAAGCACCGTGATAGGCCTAGCATCCCTAGGGTGCAACTTGCCCGATTTCTGCGAAACGCAGGCATCCCAGCTACCCAGTCGAAGGAGGATACAGCTGTGCTAAAAGACCGCATTCTTTCTCGCCGAATAACTTGAGTTCAGAAACACTGAATCTATCCAAACCTCTTGCCTTTCTAACTGCCGGTTTATCCACAACATACTGAAGATTCTGGGCTGTAGCCTCAGCTCGAAAATAGGGGGGTTTGGGGGCAGCTGTGAGAGCATGCTTTGTAATGCTGGCTTGTCGGGCTAACGCGCGGCGTTCCAACAACTCATCCCAAAAAGAGCTCACTGCATCACTGATGTAGGTCGCTTCGTACACCACTGCTCATGTTGCGGCATATACTTTGTCATAGCTTCAACTGCAGGGGGGTTCAAGCTTTTAGGGACATAAGTTTCTATTGATGTAAGTCTTTAGGATGTAAGTATTAGGCTGCTCTACAGGATACCAGGGCATGGGTTGCAGATTTAAGACTTGACGGATGCAAGAGTTTGGGGATCCCTGAAACCCCACCCGAGAGGACGTCATATTATTCAACGTTTGCCTGCATAGTTTGTGCTTTGTTGTCTGAAGCCAACTTGTTTGTACTCACTTGCGGTTTCGCGGCCAACAAGAGGGTGTCCCTGGAAACGGTCGAAAACACACTGGAAAGAAGAACGATATGTCCAAGCGAGAGCCTGCGTTCACACACCTTCAAAACGGCGTCGAGGTTGTTCTTCTTGTTGTTCTTGAAGCATTGATACTTCTTCTCATTCTGCATCTTCTCCTTCTTCGTCTTGTTACATTGTTACATATTGTTACGTTCTCAGTTAATTTTTGTTGCCAAGGACTGGTCGGCTTGGGGCGTTGGCTCACAAACCGCCGTTGCCATCACGCAGCGGCCTCGGGTGGCTTTTTGGAGGAGAGAGGGAGTTAGGACGGTTAGGGTTACTGGGTTAGGAAATTGGGAAGCTAGGACCCGGTTAGGCCGGTTCGGAGTTCAGGATCTCTTAATAGAAACTGGCTTGGGCACAGCGCATACCGTCAACAAGCTGCATGCTTGGCGCTGAGGCACGCAGGTGAGCTAAGATGGATCCCTTTCCCTGCACATACAAGCAGGCAACAGACAACCAACAGACAACAGATAACGGACGACAGACAAACGGACGCCAAAGCAACCAACAATAATATTCAACGACCGACCAACAGCAAACAACAAGTGACAACAGTTAAAGGACCGGATAACCCCACGCAAAGAGTACAGTGAGGGAGTGAGTCACGGAGTGAGAGCGATCAGCAAAGAGAAGGCAGACATGTGATGTGTCGAAAACTTACGCCGCGCGTTATGTTGTCGTTGAAACAAATGTGAGCAAATATCATGGTTTTTTTGGTTATTTAATTGCCGGCGTGCGAAAAGATCGCAAATGTCATAGTTATTTCATGCCCGGCGTGCGGAAAAATCGCAAATATCATGGTGATTTAATTCGCGGCGTGTCGCACGCCGTAAATAAGGGCGACCAGCTTCGGGCTTGAGGGTTTTAGCTAAAGCATCAGGCTGAGGAGTTTCGGGATCAGTTGCCAGGCGACCAAGATGTTCAACTGAGAAGCACCTCACACTAATAGGGGCGGTGCAGCGTGAATGCAGAACATTTTGGAAGGTCGTGCCCGCTGGATGCTCCCAGGTTGCAAACGAAGAAACAGCCTAGATACTTGTCAAAGTCAAGCTGAGCAGCCCTCCTTGTAGGCCGCACCGATGCCGAAGCTGCTCAGGAAGAGTCCGGAAAGTCCTGAAAGTTCAGCCCTCCGCGGCTATGCCCATGGAAGGTGGGAACAGCTGCAGCGCCGGCAGACCTGCCAGCAGACTTGCCTTTGCCCTTCGGAAAATCAAGAGAACGAAAATCCCGCCGGGCCGCGGAAACATGGACTCCAGTAACGCACGTGCGCTACAAAAGAACAAATGTTCTTGCCTTTCTTGATGTCGTTTTCGCGCTTGACATGTGCAAAATCAGCTCGCCAGCCATAACCATGTCTTTCAGTGGCGCCAGACTCGTGGAACTGCCGCATCTTCCCAGCACGGGACGACATGACTTTGCTTGAAGCCTACGTGCTCCCAGGGTCCGTTCCAAGGCCACGTGCGTACTACATAGTGCTACAAGAGAACGAAAAACAAGGCCAGCCCCCCAAGTGCGCAAGGGTCCGTTCCAAGGGCCATGCGCGCGAGGGTCCGTTCCAAGGCCTCGTGCATATTACGTGGTACGACAAGAGAACGAAAAACAAGGCGAGCCCCCCAAGCGCGCGAGGGTCCGTTCCACGCACGTAATACACAGTACTACAAGAGAACGAAAATCAAGGCGAGCCCCCCAAGCGTGCGAGGGCCCGCCCCAAGGCCACGCGCGCGCCACACAGTACTACAAGAGAACGGCAAGCCCCCCAGGCGCGCAAGTGTCCGTTCCAAGGCCACGTGCGTGCTACATAGTACTACAAGAGAGCGAAAATTAAAGCGAGCCCCCCAAACACGCGAGGGTCCGTTCCCAGGCCACGTGCGTACTACAGTGCACACTACAAGAGAACGAAAATCACAAGGCGAGCTCTTTAATAGGGCCCGTTCCAAGGCCACGTGCGTGCTGCGTAGTAGCACTACAAGAGAACGAAAAATCAAGGCGAGCCCCCCAAAGCGCGCGAGGGTCCGTTCCAAGGCCACGTGCGTACTACATAGTATTGCAAGAGAACGAAAATCAAGCCCCCAAGCGCGCGTAGTACTACAAGAGAACGAAAATCAAGGCGAGCCCCCCACGCGCGAGGGTCCGTTCCAAGGCCGCGTGCGTACTACACAGTACTACAAGAGAACGAAAATCAAGGCGAGCCCCCCAAAGCGCGCGAGGGTCCGTTCCAAGGCCACGTGTGTGCTACGTAGTTCTACAAGAGGACGAAAAACAAGAGCCCCCCAAGCGCGCGACAGTCCATACCCATACCTAGTACTACAAGAGAACGAGAGTGTCAAGGCGAGCCTCTCAAGCGCGCGAGGGTCCGTTCACGTGCGTACTATATAGTACTACAAGAGAACGAAAATCAAGGCGAGCCAATGAAGCGCGTGAGGGTCCGTTCCAAGGCCACGCGCGCACTACATAGCACTACAACAGACCCCGGGCGTCTGTGCACGCAAATACGGCAAACATTGCAATGTATGCAAATTTTGCCAACGTCGCTCATGTATGCAAAATTTGACAGCGCTCAATTAAGTCGATGGGATTTCACGGGATTCCTCGTGATTCTGCGTGATTTTGCGTGATTTCGTGTTGGGTTCCCTATAACATCTCTATACGGAATTAAGCGTGATTTTGCGTGATTTCGCGTGATTCTGCAACCTTCCAATTCCATGCAACCTAGCCGCGAACCTCTGTATGCAAATTTTGCTAACGTTGCCCAGGAACGGGCCTCTGTAGGCAAAACTTGCACACGTACGCAAATGTATGCAATATTTGCATGCTTTGGATGCCAAGGGAGAACGAAAATCAAGGCGAGCCCCGTTCCAAGGCCACGTGCGTACTACATAGTACTACAAGAGAACGAAAATCAAGGCGAGCCAACCACGCGCGCGAGGGTCGAGTACTACAAGAGAACCTGCAACCACAAACGACCACAAATAAAGCGGAAAATCGAAAAACCTGGTTTTCCGTGAGGTTCCACAGAAAAAAGGGTCTTGCGCCCGTATTTTGCAAGCAGCCACCTGGCGGTCGTAAAAAAGCGTAAAATAACCGTAAAAAAGCACAAAATGACCGTAAACAGGCGTAAAATGACCGTATTTTTTGTGAGCATTTCCAGGTGCGATCGTTTTTTGCTGCTGCCCCAAGAAAACCTAGTTATTTTGGCACGACCGGAAATAAAGCGGTCAAGAGGGTAGCAGGAACGAAAATCAAGGCGAGCCCCCCAAGCGCGCGAGGGTCCGTTCCAAGGCCACGTGCGCACTACATAGTGCGAGCCTCCCAAGCGCGCGAGGGTCCGTTCCAAGGCCGCGTGCGCACTACACAGTGCTCAAGAGAACGGAAATCAAGGCGAGCCCCCCAAGCAGAAAGAGTAAGAACCCCACAGTAAGATGTGGGGACCTAACAACAAAACCAACTGACTGACTGACGACGACGACGACGGCCACAACAACAAAGGAATGTGGAACAGCATGGCCTGCGGTTCGAACTGTGATTTCAGCCACTAGCAAAGTAGCCTGGCCCGAAGAGGATCAGCTACCACCTCACAGTTAGTACGCATGCCATGAGGCTACCAATCAGTACCCTGATGTACACTTGACGATTGAACATGTGTGCACATTGTTTGGGCAGTGGCGACTGCGGGTGCAAGGTACGGAGACCGATTTCTCCAAATTGGCAAGTTCCGGTTGGGTGTGCGCGCTGATGATACCGACTACCTCCTCGTGACTCATATAACAGGGGAGGTAACTGTCAATCTTTACCGGAAAAATGGACAAACGTGGTCGAATACGGCGACTGATCCCAATCTGGTGAACCTCCGCCATCCCAAGTGGCACTGTGGACCTGCGGTGCCAGGCCTCTGTTCAGGGATAACTACAGGTGAGAATTTCATACAGTTTGGCAAATTTCGGCTTGCTGCTATGGACAATTTCCACCTCACCGTGTCTCACCAGGCCGCTTGAAGCTCAAGAGAGTTTTCTTCTTCTTTATGATGTTGGGTGTTAGGTCAGGTGTTAGGGAGTTACTTTCTCTCATTGGTGCTATTTGCTTTAAGGACGGGCAGACACAAATGGTCTGGCGTTACGATAACGTGGTCGAGACCGGACCCCGGACCGATTGGAACAGTTGGGGGAGAGAGCCAAAGGAAGTAAGCAGCTCAACACGGTTGGCCTTTGGAGACCGTTTCATCCAGATTGGGCAGTTTCGGCTGGGCGCGTGGAACCAAGTTCCTCGGCTCATTGCTGCGCTTCGCAACTGTGGGTCTTATGACGGGTTGGGCACTCGTAGCCCCAACAGCGGGCCTCACAGCTATAGTTACCCTTTGTATGAACCTCCAACTGCCAGGACGACTACTTCTCCATCTCGCACTCGAACAACAACATACCCCACCGTTGGAAACAAGATGGAAGTGAAGCTCGTGCGGTTCTGTCTGGGTCAACATCAGCGCCGGCCCCGGAACAAAAGCTTTCATCCCAACTTCACCCGAGCCATCTTTGCCTGAGCACCCATGAGGCTTTGATCCCAGTTTCAATTCAGCCGTCATGGCTTAAGCTCTGCCCTCGAACAGAAGCTTTCATCATCACCGCCCCCTTCTTTTCCAAAAGCGACGGGATACATTTGCAAATGTCTTCGGTCGTGGTGGTACGGTTTCCGTGTGTCTAAATGGAAGCTAGCGGCTAGGATGAATGAGACAACATGAACCAATATGATGTTTCAAGGGTCTGCGCCTTTGCAGGTTGAATTCTTTTCTGGACATTTACTGGTTGCAGGGTGCAGGAGTTGACGGGCGTCAAGGCTCAGGGGGCTTAGGGTGTAGGACGTAAGGTTCAGTAGGAGAGGCTCAAGGCTTGCGGTCAGGGCTTCGTACGGTCTAGACTTTGCACACAGACAGAGCCCACTCCTTGACTTGCTCACTTCGCCCCCTCACCCCTTGACTCCTTCTCTCCCTTGTTTGCCTCTTGCCTCGCTCACGCGTCCCCTCCCATCCCACTTGCCGACCTCACTCTGTCAAGTGATCACTCCACTCAGCCCCGCTCCTGCAAACTCCAAGCCTTGTGAACTTGTGTTCATTTTGGGAAGCGGGCCTTTTGTCCGGAAACCCTACGCGGCCCCAAACAATCAAGAGACCTAACAAGAAAGCGGACCTAACCCACACGCTGAATCCTCAAGTCTCCTTGGCCTTGCCTTCCGATCCCGTTCCCAGGGCAGCTTGTGGAACAGTCAACATCCAGTCGGAGAACCTCTTGGCGTGAGCTTCGGTGGCTTGAACTAATTTCGCCCTCCTTTCGGCACATTGCACATACTTCTGGACCTGACAAAACCAGAGTCTTAGCTCCTTAGCCTTGACACATTTCAGGTGATCGCTTTGTCCAAATCGGCCCGTTCCGATTGGGAGACGTGGACGGCACCCATTTTACGCTCGCTGCGACTCAGATCAGTATTCAGGGTTTCTGCTGAAATTCTCAGGCACGTCATGCAACACATGTTACTGTAACCTGAGTAAGCTGTAGAAGGATCATGAGCGGGAGTGGTGTTGACGCACCGAGTTGGAGTTGGAGGTCGACGTCAATCATCTGCTACCGAAGTTACGCTCCCGAAGCTAATTCTTTTGTGGAAGAGGGCCCGCCATTCGTTCGGAGTCTTGCCTGTGCAGGGACGGTTCGTGACGTGTCACCGGCAGGAGCTAAAAAGCGGAGCCCAAGGCAGCCACCAACCTTTTTTCATCGAAAGAACATAATCAGAACAGCAGCTTAGTGATAGGGGTTCGTTTTTTGATGCGTTTTCCTTGTGCTGGGGAGCCCGTTGTGGAGCTCATTGCCCACGTGTGGCCCTAAACCGCGGAATGGCTCCTTGTTGCAATGATGTCCAACACAGCTGAGGTGAGCGGCAGAACACTGTTCACCTTCCACGATCAGGGCACATCGCATGCTGGCGGGGACCTCACGACTTTTGGCCGTGAGATCCAGCCGTGCAGTTTGTATGGAGCACGGTAGTCAAGTAGATAGACATAACGTAGGAGGCGAAGAACTTTTAAAGAGTTCGCAAGCTTCCACCCCATTTGAAAAAGGTCCGCCATATGTATCCAGCGTACCAAAGCTTGGTGCAAGATTGAGCTCAAAATGCCTTTGCCACGAAAAGCCCTAAACAGTCCGTTTTTTTTTCCGAAGTAAATCTCCAGCAAACTTCGAACTCTGATCTTGTACCCAGAGCAGTTTCTGAACAGGTTGCGTGTTTTTCTGCATTTGGCTCAAGAACCCAATTAGCTAGGCTCCAGGAAAAGCATTTGGGTTTTGCACAGCATGTTAGCCACTACAGCAGGCGCATGGCTATTTTGTCGCAGTTTGATTAGTAGCCTAAACCTTTCCCTGTTGTTTGAGGTTGTCGGGTCAAGGTTTTTGTGTGGGGTCAGCCTACAATTTTAAGTTAAAAACACAGTGGTCCCTTGAGCCGAACTACAGCAAGGAGGGATGTGGAAGGGCTTATCGCTCCATTTTCGGGGCCCTTTGGGGCTATCTCCGGCTCCGTGATTGCTGGATAGGTACGCACCCCCAGCTACGAGCTATGACTCCGAGATAGAGGGTCCGCAGAGTCCCAAGCACTTCTGCCCCAACAAGCACTCTCTCCCTTAAAGTACCCAAAATAGGAATGAAACTCTACACCCTCGACCCCCAGACCCCTAAACCCATGAACCCGAAATGCCTAAACCCTATAAACCCTACGCCGTATTCATATGTGTCGAAAATTGTCAGCACGCTGGCACCTGGGAGCCCTGTGCCGTGCAAGTCTGGACTCTTGCAGTGACTCCTATTCCTTTCAAAGGTGTTTAAACATGTACTTGCTGTTGCGGCCCTTGCGCACCTGAGCTGTTCCCGGTGTAGGCTTGTAGAATAGTCACTTCATCGATGTTCCCTAGATTTCTGCAGTTTGGGTTTACGTTGGGAAGCGAAGGCTTGCTGATGGTGGAAGATTTTGGGAGCCCATAGGCTTCTGTGGCTCCGATTTGCGCTCTACAGGGTTCCAGTAAAGTTCGACCAGTGGCTCAACAGTGACCCGATTTACAGGTGTAGGGTGCTTTGGGGCTCCTTGTGGGTGGAGATTGGGGATGACTGAGGTCTCGGGTGGATTCCTAAACTGCAAGTAGGGTTTGGGGTTCACGGTTTAGGGTCCCTAGATGCCACACCCTGAGCGACACGAAAGCCCCTAAGCGCATAAGCAGCCGAAGAACCTCTCCTCCTGGCCCTAACACAACCTAAATCCTAAACCCTGAACCCTGAACAGGAGGTAAGCCTCGTGGCGAGCCTTCTGCGGCCGGCAAGAATGCGAGGTGGAGGCGCCTGCACACCCGTCACCCTTATGAAAACCCTCACAACCCTGAAGCCCTTCCCCCCATCAAGCTCCTAAACCTTAAACCCTCAACCCTAAGAGCCTAAGGCCCTCAAACCTAAACCCTAAAACCCCAAACCCTAAAACCTAAACCTTAAAACCCAGCTTCTGAAGCCGCTGCTCTTGCTCTTGAGCCTTATGCGGGTTCTCCAAACCGTGCCAAAGAGTCCTGCTCCCGTGCCCCAACTCCGAGATAAACCCATGATCATGGATTTATGAGTCGTTATTTAATATCATTTAGTCATGGAAAGCTGCCTCAAACCCAAAGCCCGAAAGCCATGTTTTCTCAAACTCCGCAGTGGTGAACAACACGTCGCACTGTGTACGTGCGCAGTCTGAAGCTTCTGAGGCATGACGTCACCTCCATGAGGCCCGATGGCACATGGGTGAGGCACCCGATGATGAACTCGCTGCAGTTTCTATCGGGTGGACAGGTATAGGGCTCTGCCATGCACGCGGCATCGATCAGTGTGTGGCCCGTTGTATACAGATTCTGTTTGGAGCTTAAGTGAGAGCTTAAGTGAGAGCTTAATATCTGGCTGCTCGCAGGCTTGACAAAAGCTAAGACCTAAAAGCGTCATGGACACTTGGGTGGGCATTCCGTTGCCTCCCAATGCAGGCAATCGTGGTGTTTCCCAATGCCCAGCTCGCTCAAAAAGGCTTTAGCCGGTGTCCCAGATGCTCACTGGATCTCACTGGCAGTCTTCTGGCTTTCCAGGCTTTCCAGGTTTCCAGGCTTTGGGGTGGTCGTCCGTTCTCAACTTGTCGCTTCTGAGGAGAATCGACCTTGGGCTTGTGCACAGCGAGGATGAGAAGCAGCGCCATGAAATCCAGGGCCGCTACATCGAGCTCTTCAGGTCCAGGGGAGGGGTAGCGCTGCCATGAGTAGCCTGAATCGGTTGCTTAGCTTTCGACAGTGCACTCTGGCACGCCCCGCCCCTGAGACCCTCCTCCCACCTTCCACTGCAGACCTTAGGGTTCAGGTACTTTAGGTGTGCACCAGGCGGTGTAGAAAGTCTTACGTTCCCGACAGTTCTCAGAAGACAGATCCCACAGCCCGGAATTTCCGGGAATCATTCGGGCAGATCGAGCCACGGAGAGCTCGAGGAGGGTCGCACATGGGCGGATGCACGGAAAGCATCCCACAGTTGGATAACTCATATGTTCCGAAGCCTTGCGCATGTCGTCAAGCAGAGTCCTCTCAGAATCAAGAGCAGCACGCAGGCAAGGCACACACAGACAAGGACATCCCCTCAGCACGTGTGTGCGTTTATCGTGCGCTTGGTGCTCCTTCAGCCGAACCTTGGCTCGAGACCTGCCGAGCACACGTTCTAAGGTTTCGCGTCAAACGTTCGTCAATGTTCGGCAGCATGTCGCCCAAGTCGCCCAAGTGGTGTTTGGGGTTCCCACTGGTGGTGTCTGTGTTCGCAGGCCCTGGCGGCCTGACACACCTCGACCAAAGCTTTTCTGCTTCCTCTGCCGATTCCTGCTTCCTACAAGTTACAAGGTCGGCGAGCAAAGAGCACGTGAGTGAAGAACTGCCAGGCATATGCGTTACTTGGGGAAAGCGCACGTTACAAGATTGCCTCAACGAGTGCTATGACAAACAGGTTCAACGCGAGTTAGCAGAGGCAGAAAGGCAGAGCGCTTGGGGCGGTCTACGGTCCCTTAGCCAATAATGTCGTATCCTGATTAGTCTGGACCCCCTCAATAATGAAAAGTTTTCCAAAAATTATTCAGGAGACCCAATTTGGATTGCCCCCCCACAATAAAGTAAAGTTTTTTCGGGCATGGGTTTCGGAACAGAGAAAAAAAAGAAGAAGATGATGAAAGAAAAGAGCAAAAGAAGAGCAGCTTCAAGTCGGAGTTCTGAGCTGTCATCCCCAACCTGAGCTGATCCTTCAAGCTTCCCGGGTTCAGGGTCTACGACCAGGCCTGAAAACAAGGATTCCTTATGACTTCGCTTATCTGAGGAGGCCTAGCCATCAAATTTTGAAGGGGGTAGTCCACGTGCTGCCCCGAAGCCCATTTAAAAAAAAAAATTGCACCCCCACAATAATGTCAAGGTTTTCGGGGGGAGGGGGGGGAGGGGGCGGGCCTTCAAGCTTCCCGGGTTCAGGGTCGACGACCAGGCCGGAAAACAAGGATTCCTTATGACTTCGCTTATCTGAGGAGGCCTAGCCATCAAATTTTGAAGGGGGTAGTCCACGTGCTGCCCCGAACCCCATTTAAAAAAAAATGCACCCCCACAATAATGTCAAGGTTTTCGGGGGGAGGGGGGGGGGGGCTGAGCTTTCCTGAGCTTACCTGAGCTTACCTGAGCTGAGCTCATCTGAGCTTACCTGAGCTTAATTATGTAAGAGGAGAGGGAAAGGAAGAGGAGAGGAAGAGGAGAGGGAAGAGGAGCGAAGAGGAAATGAAGAGGAGCCGGTGGGGGGGGGGCCCGGGGCCGAAAATTAGTTTGGGGGGGTCCCTTTTTTTAACACTATTACGGGGGTGGATTTAGTTTGGGGGGGGGGAGGGGGGGGGGGGGCCCTCACACTAATCAGGATACCACATTAGTTGAGCTTTAAGAAATTTTTCTATTCTTCAATTTTTCTATTCCTTGGTTACAGAAGTAAGTTCCTTCAGCGGTGGCTCTGCAGCCGCGGCGGGATCGGTAAACCCAACGGCAGGGGCCGCCTTGGCGGTTACAGACATGTTGGTGGGGATAGAGGAAGCGCAGGACAACTTGGAGAGTGCTTCTGGGCCCCAGTTCCTCAGGAGCTATTTCTCCTTCTCGTAGAATCAAATCCAGAGGGAGCATTAAGAATATTATTTTTGTGATGGTTCTAGGGGGGGGGGGGGGTATAGAGAACAGAGTTTCAGAACCTGGCCATAAGACGCGGATTTGTCAACCAGATGGTGGAAATAAAAGTAGCTGGTGTTTGCTCTACCATTCTTGGGGCAATTTCCCAGTGGCAACGCTGACCCGAGGCTTATGACGCCGCCAGTGCTCAGAATTGTGAGCAGCTTGGCACGCTCATGCTCATGCAGGGGGTGGCAGAACTTGGAACTCAGTTGGAAGATGTGCGTGTCGAGTTGGGGGCAAAGATGGATGCAGCCTTGCGGAGATTGGACCTTGCGCGCAAGGACCTGAAAGAAATCAAGAATTTGTTTCCTGGCCTGCTTGAAGGCATGAACATGAGTGCCAAACAACGTATAGTTGCCATTAGTTACGATAGTTCTAAATTGCGACTAAAGACATTCTTGGGATGGCACCCAAGGATTGTCGTGGTTGAGGAGAGACTGACCGCCCAGGTGCAGGTCGTGAGAGAGGGTCAAGATCTCTTGTTGCAACGGGTTGACGAAGTCTTGCAAGCCGTGGAAAGGCTGAACCTCCTCAACCGCCAAAATGCCTTGTCGACCAAGATGACAGAATTTCTCCGATGCGGGGCGAGCGTTCAGCATGCCTTCGACACGGTTCAGGGACTGCTCCGAGAAAACGACGCCTTCAAATATGGTTTCCGAAGTGTTCTGTTCAACTCCACAGCTGCCACTGTCAATGCACGTGCCAGTGAATGGACCGTTCAGGCTTTCAAAACCCCTGGGTGTTGAAAGCCCGTAAACCCTGGGTTCTGAAACCCGGGGTGTAGAAGACTCTTTCGTGACTGGCACAGTTATCAAAACAAATCATGCTGAACATCGTCAAATCATCGTTTCATCATCATTTACAATTTCATCATCATGTATTTATCATGTTCGTTTTCATGCTATTGTCATGTTAGTATGATTTTCGGTATCATTTTAGTATTTAGTATCATCTTAGCATCATTTTAGTCGCATTTTATGATCTTTTTGTTTACCATTTTATTATCATTGTTCGTGTTCCATCGTGATTTTTTCCTATCGTTTGGTGGAAAAGGGCCGGGGAAAGGGCACCCGGGAATCCTGGAATTTTCGAAAATGAGGAGAGCCTCAGGAAATGTTCATATTACTATCATGTTATTACTTATCACCATTTTATTACCATTTGTCATCATTTTCTCATCATTTTTTCATATTCTTATTGTCATTTTATTATCATGCTCACAATTATTTTCATCATTGTTTGTCTTCTGTTTGTTCATCGTCTGGCAGAAAGCGCCCGAGCCGTCCCCAAAACGTTTAAACAATGATAGCGAAACGATAACACAATGATGATGGCATCAGGGGTGAAGAAAAGAATGAAACAAATGTGAAATCCCGAAGTTAAAGCAAAATGATGATAAAATGGAAAATTGTTTCAAGATTCACGGTCTGTAGATGCCAAAGAGTTTCATAACCCTGGGTGTTAAAACCTTGGGCGTTTGAAACCCTGCAGAACCCTGGCTTTTAAATCGCTTTTAAATCCCTGTGTGATTCAGCAGTGCTGAGTTCAGCTGAGGCCTGGCAGAGTAACTTGAAGCCGCTCCTGGACACCACCGCTACAAATGCCCTGAACGGTGCCCAGGTGTTTAAGCTCCCCTTTGGGGTTTAGGGTTCAGGATTTAGGGTGACTCTTGCATCTCTTGCAGTGCGAAGAGGAGGATTGGGGGAGCCCCTTTGGTCCACAGTGCTTTGTGTCCCAACACCCCACTCGAGTCGCTGGGTTTTCTGTTGATCCAGAATTTGGGCCCTTTTGGGTACCCTAAACGATAAAGAAAAAACTAGAATAGCGAGCCCTGTTAAATTATCAACCCCCTGCGTCTGTTCGAGGAATGAGTTGCATGAGTGTTTTGGTCAATGGCGGCTGCTTGGGCGCTTTTGGAAGTCTTGGCCATCTCGTTCTTGGTTTGGGCTTTAGGGTTTAAAGTTAGGCGACCAGGGCAGCTACAGCTTTCTAGCTAACCCGCTTTCAAGAGCAGCTCAAAGGTTTGTTGGAGGACTATCACGTGGAGCTTGTGCAAGATCGCCTCCGTCAGAGCCACGGCCTTGAATTTGGAAGCTCCCAAAAATCGAACGAAGGTGAATACCTGGAACCTTGAGGGCTTGGGCGTGCTGGTTCATGATTGGGAGTTTGCTTTCAAAAACTTTTCTCCGAGCTCTTGGGAAGGGATACACCCCCGGGGTTCCCTAAGGAAGCTTGCCAAAAAGGCGAACGCCGAGGCGGCGCTTGATGACTTCTACGGCATCTAGGACCCAGAGTAGGCCCCTTATTCCCCCTTTTTTTAGGGATTCAAAGGTTCCCTCAGAAACCCCTTTAAACCAAAAAACGTACCCTTTTCCTAGGTTACTCTTGGGCATTCTTGGGCCTAGGCATGGTCGAAAGCATTGCGGCTGACGTCTTCCAGAACGATGACGTGCTACTCACTTCCGCCAACGCACTCACTCAGCTCCGTTATGTTCTCCTGGCAATTCCGCGCGAAGGACCGTTGGGGGGGGGGCGCCAGGAATGGCTGGAAACCTAAATGAACCACCTCCCCGTGAACCTTATATCTTACAGACCCTAGACCCCGATAGAGCTGGGTCTTTTACACCCCACATTTCGGCACACGGTCTTTGAAAGGCTATTGAAGCGACTTCGTGGTGTATGCCAATAGCCTGAAGCTTGGGTTCAATGGAGCCCGGCCTTGACTTGGTAGACTCGTTTGTTTTTTTTTGGTTTGGTTGCTGCTTCAAGGTGGAGGAAGAGGGTGTTTTGGGAGAACCCCTAGTGCATCCTCTTGCGCTGTGCAGGAGCTTTGAAGTACATGCAGACGGAAGACTTCATGCTGTTGATCCGGAAGGGCTTGGCGGATGCGGCGCCGGTTCTGTTTCCGCCTTCTCCCGAGTGCTTGACGGAGATGCGGCGCGCATTTCCAGAGAAGTATCAAAAGCTGTCACTTTGGGCCACTTCAGGCACAGTACAGACTCTGGTGCATAGTATCTTGGGAATCATTTCAAAAAGACCTTGTGGAGCTGTTCCGCATTGTAAGACGATGTTAATTCACTAGTGCAAACAGCACCGAGGCCTCGAAAATCGCGTGCCTCTGACAGAGGCAAATGTGCCGGCGCTAGCTTTCAATATGGGTTTTGATTGGTTCTCCTGCATCTGTAAGCCCGATTGCAGCGCCAGTGAAATCGCAACACCCATCGTTGCCGCCAACTTTGGCTGGAACGGCCAGACGTTGAGGGCCCCCAACAGCGTCTCTGACAACGACCGGGAGGCTCTTCATCAAGCACTCATAGAACATTTCGCCAACAGGAAAGCCGCAATGGGGGCTTGGGAATGCCAGGCAGCTGGGCGTGAAGTTGCTCAGATGCTTAGAGCACAACCCAAGGAGGAGCGCCCATGACGTGACCCCCCAAAACAACCCAGGCAATGGACGTGGTGGCCAAGTCTGCTGCCGTGTCGGCCTACAAATCTTGTCTTCAGCAAAGCGTGAGCCAGCCGCAGTTTTAAGTGGTCGCAATGGAAGTTTGTGTATCATGGTCATAGAGTAGTAGAATCCTCAGGGCTGCGCAGATTGGTCTAGTCGCATGCGGGGGGGGGGGGGGGGGTTGTTCCCGTTTGAAAGGAGAGGGTCTTCGTTTCTCGAAGTGCCTCATCTTGTCTTAAGGCGCCAATCGCCATCGTTTTGGACGGGACGGACTTGCCTGCTGCACCGAACCTCAACTGCAGTTTTGAAAGCAACTTCTGCGGCTGGGACCCGGATGTTGCGACGTCTTGGCCAGCCGACCCTAACGCAGATTGGGCGTGGAAGAGGAAAAGTGGTCCAACGAGCAGTGCGTATACCGGACCCTCGGCGGCCCACAGCGGAGAATGGTATGCATCTTGGCGGCTGATATCATGTTGGCATATGGCCAGATATGTTGATGGCTCACAGTTTCGCCACCCCTCTTCTTTGACGGAGACTCAGGTGTACGTCGAGGCCAGTATCCAGCCAGGTGGGTTTGAGAAGACAGCGGTGCTTCAGAGCATTTCCCTTGAAGGGTACCGCATCTTTCGTCTCAACTTCTGGTACCACATGTACGGCACGGCCATTGCCTCCCTGAGAGTTCAGATTCTCGTGGCTGGCTCCTGGACGACCCTCTGGGAGAAGTCCGGCGATCAGGCAGGGAAGGTTCGAAGGGTCGGAAGCACATCGCCTTTCTCCCATGCTTTCGAAGTTGTCGATGTTCACCTGCTGAGTCTTGGTATTTGAAGGTCTTCTGCTCCGAAAGTGTCTCCAAGAGCAAAGTTGAATGAAGCTTGCCAGGGTAACTCCTGGCTGCAAGCCTCGGTGCAGATCCCTGCGATTGCAGAGAGAGTTCGGTTCTATGCCACGACTGGTGCCACTGGGCCTACTCCCATGTTTCTGCATGACCCTCGTGAAATTTCCCCTGCTTTGGGCACCAAGGTACCCCTTTCAACTTGACTGAACTGCGTACCTCCGCAGAGCCCTTGAGTCCTCAAGCGATCGAAAACCTCCTCTTGCAGCTCCAACACCCTAAACACCCCTAAACCATATAACATAAGCCCTATAAACCCTATCAGCTCTATAAGCCCTATAAGCCCCATAAACCCCATAAACCCTAAACAGGAAACGCTAACCCTTTTGTCCAAGGTCGGAGTAAAGGGCGACATTGGCCTCGATGACATCGTGGCTACAACGGCGGGTGTCACAATTGAGTTGGCTGCAACAGCCGGCACTTGCTTGAGGGACTCCGAGCCCGCTTGCCCCAAAACATCATGCGGGCCGTGGCTTTTACAATGCTAGACCTGATGGCATTCATTAGTTTGTTCGGTGAGATTCGGTGAGTCTGACCGAGGAAGAGTTGCGCCAATAGGGGCACGTTTTATAGCAGCGCTCGCCGCAAAGCGGCGAAAGCGGTGAACCTGTGTTTCTGTGCTCTTGAAGCATGCGTGCCAGAGCCGATGGTGCGTGCTCAAAGAAAGCCATTAAAACTCGGTGATCATGGCCATCGAGTTCGAGTACCTTCTAGTAAGGGATCGACAAGGCCAAACAAACCCGAACCACTCAAAATCAGAACCTGAAGAAGAAGAAGGAGAAGAAGGAGAAGCCGGCCTAACTCCAGGCCACAGTCTGCAAATCACAAAGAAAGACCAAAAACAAACATCAGAAAGAGCGCCAGTCTGGACCATAGTCTACACATCACGCGTGCACAAACAAGGCACACGAGCACTGCTCTGGGCAGCGGTCTACAAACCTGCGAACGAACTTTCAGCGTGTGAAAGTGAACAAACTTGGCTGACTTTCTCAACCTATGCCTACACGACTTCTGTCAACGCAAAGGGGCATAGGCGCAGACGGACCGTGCAAAGGGACACCTGCCCAGACCTGCCCGTCCCCTTTCAGCCCCAAATCACGACAGCTTCGCCGGTGAGATGGCGAAGCAACGCCCGAAATCACCCAAAAACCCTAAACCCGAAACCCAAACGGCCCCTGCTCTCCAACTGTTTGAGGTCAGTCGCTTGAGGTACTAATAGGAGGCTTGGGGTGAAGCGCTCGCGCCCAGTAGTACCTTCATTTCGGCAGGGGTTCCATCATAACCTAATTGCCCAAAAAGAAGTGGTAGCTTCTTCAGTTTTAGGGAGTTCAAGTTTAGGGTTTAAAGGTTTGGGTTCGGGAGTTTAAGTTTAGGGTTTAAAGGGCTGGATTCGGGGTCTGGAGTTTAAAGGCTTGGGGTTTAGGATTCGGGCTTCAAGGTTTTGGGTTTAGGGTTAGGCTTTGGGTTTAGGGATACTAAGTGAAAGAGCCCTTTCAATGGAGGTTGCATTGGAGGTCAACGGCCCTGATGTGTACTCCGACCACACGCGCATTTGCTGTGGGCTTCTGATGGTTTTGAGTGTGGTGAAGATGTCTGTTTCATCATGACCCAGGGAGTGTCTTGGGCTTGGGGTTTTGGTTCTTGGGGTGTGCTTCGTAGAAGTTCTCTCTCTGTTTGTGTTGTGCGGCGGGGGGGCATGTGTCCTTAGGACGCTGGTCAATAGGCTGGGAGGCAACGGCCAAGCTAGTCATCTGCACCTGAAGAAGCCCCGACAACCCTAACACCCAAAGTTCCAAAATCCTTCCAAAATCCTAAACCCCCATAAAACGTGCAGGACCCTAAGCCGAAAGCCCTCTAGACCCTAAACCCTCGCCCTGCATTATGCGGAGCAGTGACTTTCTTAAGGAAACCAAAATCCCTGGCAGAAGCCGATGCTAGGTTGGTTAAGCTTTAAGGGCTTTAGAGCTGTTAGCGTTGAAGGTGATAGAAGCTCAAGCAGCTCGAAGCTGTACCCAGAGTATTCCGAGCTGCTGGAAGCCCTTCACCCGCGCTTCTCGAAGCCAAAGCGCTTGGACCAGGTGAAAAGGCACAGGGAGAGAGGGAGTGCAAGAAGGGTCCTTAAGGCATCGGAATACCTCCATTAGACCGAAACCCCGAGATCCGAAACACTATAACCCCTGAACCCTAAACCCTATAAACCCTAGCAGCCCTATAAACTCGAACATGAAGGCTTTAACCCTGAGCCCAAATATCATGCCCAAGATCAAACCCGAACATCCCGCCTTCGACAAAAGGAGCTTCGCACTTCATTACGTTATGGAGGCTTTTCCAGGCTTGGATGCCCCAGGAATAACCCTTATAGTGCCCAAGGAACTGCTAGACTCTGTTGGAGCCCATGAGTCCAAGCCTTGACCAAACCCTGAGTTTAGGGTTTAGGAAGTTTAGGGCTTAGGGGGTGCAAGAGGGCTTAGGGTTGAGGGCTTGAGAACTGCTGATCATAGAGTCTTTTCCAGGGTTTCTCTGCCTATTGCTGTTTCACTCTTTTGAGACCCCTGGGGTGCTGCAGTGTGGTTTATGATTTAGGTTTCAAAGTGGTCAGTTTGTTCTGGTTTAGGGCGATTTACTTCTCCCAAGCCGCAAGCCCGCAACCAGAAACCCGAGTCGTTAAAGCGCCTTAGCCGTCTTAATTAACAATTTTTCTGGTTTAGGGATCCAGATCCTGCTTCCCAAAGTACTGTATGGCTACGCGAGACTCTGCCCAACCGAACCCTAAACCCTGAACCCCGTCACTTGGACGGAAGGCTCCGAAGCCGACTCCGCCTCTCTGCGATTCTGTTGTTGCCTGGCCATCCTGGCCAGAATCGACGGACTTGAGGCCGAAAAGATGTGACACTGGTGACACTGAGATGTTGCACAAAATCAAAGCTGCCCATTTCTCGAGGCGCGCTGAGAAGCTTTGCGTTCTCACAGTACACCGACTTGATGCGGCACACGTAGCTCTGCAGCATTCCTCCAGCCCGTCGCCTGCTTGCAGTGCATGAATTTGACATCAATTCTCCGGAAAGTCTCAGTCTGGAGGTGCCTGCTGGATCGTCGCATTACGCTGCAGCACCGCAGGGAATCTAGGATCCACACTCAATTTTCGCTTCGTTCCAATCCTTAAGCTTTGCTTTCGGATTTGTGATGCAACTGAACGTGCACAACTTTCAACACCTAAGTAAGTCGGGTGCTTACAAGGCGACCCATTCTTGTCAAGCAGCAGTCTGTGCGAGGGAACTTGTCTCCTCTTGCATGTTCTCTTTCCCCCTCTCGAACCAGCACGATACTGCGCATGGAAGCAGATACAGCAGTGATACAGCGGGAGGCAGCGATGGTCAGAATCCGAGGCATTGGGCATGGTACCTGAACTGGCTACCAGCCCGACCCCAAGACCCTCCAGCCTGCACATGCTTGTGATTTTTTGTGACTCGTGGATTGCTCATGGTGAGTCTTTCAGTCCATTTATGGCTCGAGCATGTCATACGAAAATTGGCCCCAGAGCTATGGCTCTGCTTTGGAGGACATGCTGCCTTCAATGTAGGGCCCGCTACCTTGTAGTTAAGTGTTCAAAATGTTTGTGGATAGGTCGCAGGAAAGCCTGACATGAAAAGACTTATTTCGTATTGACGGGTGCAACGCAATGTTTGTGACGTGATTTGTAAGTATAGGCAAAAGTCCCCGCGTAGAGTTTCATCAACTCTGCAAGGAGCTTGATTTCTCTTGGAAGTTTTGACCTCGCCATGAGCACATCATGCTTTGATGATGCCATTCCTGTGGCCGATCGCATAAATGTCACAATGGATGGCTTGAGCATGCCGATTGGCCTTTGGGATCTCTATTGGGACTCAGCCCTAATTTACACTCGTCTCTTTCAGATCTTGGCTTCAGAGAAGTTAGGCTACAACGTAGAAGTATTGGGTGGATCCAGCAACAGCAACTCGGTGGTCCATCGTCTCGGTGGGTGCAACTCATCAGACGCCGGAGACAGAGTTCAAGCTGAATGCATCTCCGAACCGCGATACTACCACTTCTCCTTCGAAAGTTGGGGAAACTACCAGAAACGCAGCTAAATAGCGATGTTGCGTTTACTCGGGAAGCGATTGTGCTATATTGTGCTTCTTGGGGTCATCGCTGTCGTCGCCAAAATGCCGATTTGGCTCTTGACTAAGGAACTACATCCCAACTCTGCTTAAGGAGCTCGGGGACCGAGCACCTGTGAACATTGGAAGCGTGGGATATCCAGGCAAGGAGGGGCTCCATGTCCTGGGCGGCGCCATTGACCGTGCACTGTCACAAAGCGGGCTATCTTTGCTGTACTATCGCAACTATGACGCAAGTTGGTTCCAGGTGAGGGTCTGAGCACCTTATGCACCTGCCTTTTTCATGATGTTGTTTTAACAAAGCCAAAGCTAGAAGGGCTGCTTCGGCACTTCAGACGCCCTAATTCTAAATGGAGTCCAACTGTTGTGATGCTCTGCCCTGCAGGTGAATAACTACACGGCGCATGTGTCAGATGTGAATCTGTCCAGGGTAGCAAGCTGCGATGATAGCGTGAATGCTGCGTACGGCTTTTTTGCAGCAGATTACCTAGCGTCTACAGGAGACACGGAAGGTGTCTACATCAGTGATGCTGGTGAAGTGAGGTTCAAGTGTTGGGAGGGCAAGTGGTTTGTTGGACCAGCTTGTCGCCGTTCGCCCCAACACTGCGCGACACTCACCACCGGCTGGCCAGGCTGGGGCATGGGACATTTGTGTCAAGCTGTGACGTTCCACAACATGCCCATTGCTTTGGGGGTAGTGGCAGAATATGTACAGCTGGGCAAAGAACTGCAAAGTTTCGTCTACTGGTGGCAGCCTGATGTGAGCTTTGTCCAAGACAACGCAACTACGGTGATTCTACCCCCGTACAACCCACACGAGTACAACAAAGGGATCTTCAGATCTGCAATGCAAGAGTACGTTCTTACAAAATGGTCAGCATCAGGCCTTCCTGTTACAGCAGACCGTGCCGTGGTATTGGCAACCGCCATGTCACTGAGACATGAGGAGATTACTGACCTCTTGAAAGTTCATGCGCAGCTGATGTTAGATTCACCTACCAGCAGCCATTGGGACAGCGCATGTGCCTGGCTCAAAACAAATGCAACGGCGGAAATCTGGCAAAGTTGGGTCCCAAGTGACACGGCTTGCACCAGGGGTCGGGGTCTGGTGGATGAGGAAGGCAACTACGTCATGGAACGCGAGCAGGCTGTTGCATGCGCTCTGTGCCCTGTGGGAACTCGCTCGCAGGACGACATGAGTTTACCAATGACTTTTCAGGGGTTTGGGGAGCGGTTGTGGGATTGTGGCTCAACATGCCTAGGCCTTGTTTGTATGTCCACTCTGGAACCATTGGGCTATATCGGGCGGAGGGATTTGCCTGGCTTCGCCTAGGACGGGACGTTGGGGGGCAGTGTCATGGCCGAATTTGCCCACTTGCCTGCCTAACATCCCCTAGCCAACCGGTTCGACAAGTGGAGCACAATCACTAATGTGTCACAACACGGGTCCTTCTATGCGCATCTAGCTGCCGATGCTCATGATGCTCATTTCTGTCTTGCTTCCCCTACTGCACCCCTCGAAAGTGGGTTTGGCATTCCGCCGTGCCGTTTTACTTCCAAAAAGATTGAAGTGATTGAAGCATCAATCATCAATCATCGTCAATCATAAAACCGGGGGACCAGCCGTCGGACAAATGCTGGAGGATTGATAAGAAGCGAAGCGCCGAGTGCCCAATCGGAAGTTGCTGTGTCTCGAATCTGCAGACACACAAGGCCTAATCAAGCCGATGAAGACCTCGGCAGTTTTCCCTGCAAGTGTCGGGAACCCCAGGTCCAACCAGAAGACACAGAGGAACCTTGATTTTGTGAGCGATTTTATGCGTGGTGATGTGACTTCGCTCGCCACCGTGTGTCATTGGGGAGATGTGACTTCACACGGAAAGATATGACTTAGCCTCGCCCTTTGTATGTACAAAATATTGACAAAGCATGTAGTTGTTCTTGGCCAAGAGAGGGGGAGAGAAAAAAAACGACTCCTCTTGGTTGCAAAGATAACTGGCCCGTAGTCTGGGGCAGCGCCTCTTTTCCAACATGTTTCAGAATCCATTGGGGCCACACTGCGCAGGAATCCGGAGAGACGAGAATCTGCGAAGCCTGCCCAAGGGGAAGATATCAAGGCTTTCCCGGAGAAGCCTTCTGTGAACCATGCCAGGCTGGCACAACTGCTCCTGAGGACCTGCAGGGTTGCACGGGAAAATAGTTCAGCATGATTTGGTTTAGTCGCAGGTTCAAAATTTTGCTTGATCTTCATGTACGACACGTCATGCTCATGAGAGCAAGTCCCTCGAGTTAGCACGCAGTACTCATACAGTGTGCCAGCTGAACAGCTTGGATCTTGAATAGGGCTTCTCCAACCATACGACGGAAGTCTCACTTCTCGGTTTGGATTGCCTTTGGGTCTTTTGAGTCCCCGGTTTGGATTGCCCTTGAGTCTTTTGAGTCTTTTATTCTGTCGAAAGAGACTGTATATTTATCGACATTCTCGAAGACGCCTAGCGCCGCATCAGCGGCCGCTCCCCAAAATTGTTGGCAGATGTGAACGCAACACCCGCATGATCTACATAAACTCGGGCTCCTGGCCTGTTATAGGGTCTTTAGAGGGTTCAGGGTTTGCAGTGACTACAGGGTTTAGGGGGTCTATAGAGGGTTTATGGAGTTTTGATAGGGTTCAAGGTTCACAGGGTTTGCAGAGTTTACCGTGTACAGGCTTTGTAGGGTTTGTGGCTTGATAGGATTTATAGACGGATCAGAGTTTACAGGGTTTACAAGGTCTATGGGGTTTCTAGAGGGTTTAGAGAGGGTTTACCCTATAGCGTTTGTAGAGGGGTTATAAGGTTTATAGGGTTTTTGGGGTTATGGGCTTTGAAGAGCTATAGGGTTTAGATGATTTATGGGGTTCATAGAGGGTTTATAGGGTTCATGGCGTTTATAGTTTATAGAGGATTTGCAGAGGGCTTTTAGGGTTCATAGGTTGTTCGGAAGGGCAAGGGAGGGGGGGGGCTGCGGTTATAGGGCTTGCGGGGTCTATAGGCTTTTATCGGCTTCAGAGGTTTTTTTTTAGTTGTAGATAGTTCAGGCTTTATAGGGGGGTTTGTACTTTCTAAGGTTTATGGGGGCCCCGGGCTGGGCCACGCGCCCGGGCCGGGGCATGGGGCCGCTGATGCTCATGATGCATGCGTCTCTCTTTCAGGCGCTTCCCCGGATGCGGGGGGAAATGACAGGAGTAGCGCAGAGGCCGGGTACCAAGCCGGAGGTTCCCAGGCAGAGTCCAGGGGCCGCAGATACCAAGCGCGGAGCCTTTTGTGGCACAAGGCGTGGGAAAACCCATTTCGTTGTACCAGACGCCAAGGGCTTCCCCGTGCCCCCAACAGCAGGGTCGGCGGATTACAAGGTTGTGTCAGGAGTCAGAACATGTTCTCAAATATAGAACGTGAGCGAGGACATGGCAAGCAAACACATAGAACGTGAATATGGCAAGCACACGCTATCTTGGATGGGAGTCGACAAATGTGAAGTAACTGAGTAGTCCAAGATCGCTTCCATAGGCGGGGATGAGAGAATGCCAACCATGCGGTCTGGGCGAGTGGGCCAGCGAGAAAGGAATGAGCAGCTGCAATCGGTGCGGCGCCGATGTCACCAGTAGCCCACAGCAGCTTCAGCTGTTTACCACCTCTCGGAAAGTGTCTTCAGGCCGCTTGGCTGACTGCATACTTTGCGAGACCGTTTCTGTTTTGGGGTTGTGTGGAAGCATGCCCAGCTACTGTAGAATTTCAAGTGTGTCAACCTGGGCCTCAGACAGACGAGGTGAATCCGGTGAGATATGGATCCCTGTGGAAGGGGCTTCCTCTCAAGAGCTATGCGGCTGCCAGCCGGGAGCGCACTTCGTATCCGGACTTTGCCGGCACTGCCCTGAAGGACAAACCCTCCGATCCGTTAGTTTTGTGAGCCTACCAAATGTCCAGTAGTCGTCACCTTTTCGCCACAGTAGCCGTGGCACACTGTAGCTGTAGAACAGCAGGTAGCAGCAAAGAGGAGTATGTAGACATCGCAGGTCTAGAATCCTGCCACTTTCCTTTCCTGTCGCAAACATATACAAGTATATATACATGCGCAGGTCTCATGCTGCGAAGAGAAGTTTGAGCATTTTGAGAAGGACCTGCAGCGTATATCGACATACTGCGTAGGAGGTTCCGCGAGAAGTGTAAACCCAACGCGCAAACAAATTCTGCCAGGCTCTCTGAGCTTACAGCGTGCACATCCCCCAAATTACGAATCCTTTGCTGCGGCAGCGATCAGTCCTGAAAAACGCCGGCAGTGTGCCGACTTGATCCAAGCCTCACGCAAATCTGAGGAATTGTGGCGAACATGGCGAACAACACCAATCCACGGTTTTGTCATTTGTCACTTCAAGACCTTGTTACGTAGTAGTCATCATCGATGTCGTTTTCCTGCGACAGCAGCACTAGCAGCATGGCTGCTGCGTTGTAGAAGTTTAGCTGAGCTCGACTCTGAGCTTTCAGGATCTGTTTGCATTGGCTCGACCCTCACCCTTCAACCAGGCCAATGCGGTTGCCATCATGAAATCGAGGGCTATTTGAATCTAGGGTCGTGCTTGCTCACAACTACCTGAGGCAGCAGCCACTCCTTGCGTAGAAGTGCCGTCACCCATACTCCATCTTGGCAGGCTACTATTCGCCTGCAGACGATGCAGGTTCTGTCTTTCAGTGCAAAAAGAAGGAGTATTGCCCAGGTGGTGCGCCAGGAACCTGCGCTGAGGGGAGAGATGTCTCAAGCGTGGCTTGCAGCGCTTGCTTACCTGGATTGCATGCGCAAGGAGGTGCATGTACCTCGGTTTCTCACGATCTGTCTTGAAATGTCTTGAACTTATTCGTTGTTTTGTAAACACTTGGTGTGACGAAGGGCTATGCAATCCAAACATGTGCCGAGGTATTGCGTGCGTAGGTGGCGACTACGCGTTCGTGAGCTTCTTGCTCGTGGTGATATTGCTGTTAACAACGACAGCCTACTTTGCGTTTACGTCGAGTGACAAGAGACTTGCCTCAGCGATACCCTCACAGAGTTCCATTTTGATTTCCTGCAGCATGGGACAGTTGGCGGTATCGCTTCAAGTGCCTCGGCAAGGTGTGAACCGAGCTTCTTTGTTTTTCTTCGAAATGGTTTGTGCAACGCCTCTTCCTGGTTGGGGGAATCTTGGTTTCCAAGGGCACATCTTGAACTACTTGTACTCGTAGCTCTTTTAACAGTCGATGATTTCTATCATTCCTCTGGTTAAGCTTCGCAGACAACAATAACAGTATGAGAATCATGCTGTTCCCGCAGTACAACCGTCCTGGTGCATGTTTCGTTGGCAGCCAGTCGGGGAGGTCGAGTGCTGCGCCTGCTTGTGAAGCGATTCCCGATTCACCCCGACATGCGGCCTTGCACGTTTACACAACAGATGAGTTAGACAGGTCAGACGGAGAGCCCCGTAACATGAAGAGACTCAATGTTGGTTCACTCGTGGCCGATAGTAATCCTAACTAGAGTGGGGGCTGCATCAAGGTTCACATTTTGAATGAAGAAGCATGCCTTCAAGGTCTAGTTCTCGCCTCTTATATAGGCTTTTATACTTTCTGAGCGCATGCCTGCTGCGATGACAAGGTGATTTCGTTAATCCACAAATTCGGGTTGGATTGGAGTGAGCCGGTAGCTTCCTTAATCGCGGCGACCGAAGTGATGGTCCTCGAGCTCAACGTCTTATCAATCGACTGCGTAACCCCGAAGAATCCTGTCACGCTCTTTGCATTTCATGCGGCGGTGCTGTTTCTTGGCAAATGAATCCATGGAAGACCATCGCTCAGCGCTCACGCGGGACCGCCTCGGCAACAGTAGTAGTGGTGCTTTGGTCTTCCTTTTTGCAGGTGCATTTCCAGCACCTTTCTTTCCGAGTCTTTCGTCTAGCCGCTTCTAGCCCTTTTCCTCTTCCTTCAGCGTTCCAGTTTCCAGGGATGCTGGTCCATCCTGCAGTTGATGCGTGTCATGTTCAATTTAAGGTGTTCCAGTTCTCGTCAGGTTCCTGGTATAGCGTAGTACGGCTTGTGTTCCAGAAGCACTATCCGGCAAAAAAAATTGATGATGCAGTGCTCTCCACGTTTCAAGCTTTGTCCAGAGGTTTGCACAATACATCACAATACCACATGCTAATGCGATGCGAGGTGACATGGCCAGTCTCACATTTCTCCAATATGTCCCCTTGGAAGGTCATAATATAGCGGATGCAGCAAATTTACTCTCACGTGCTCGATATTTGAGGTCTCTGAAAAAGTCGCCATTATCAATGATCAATCCAAGTCCCTGAGCTTCACCCAGAGCTCCGATGCCATGACAAGGTTCAGATAGTTTCAGCATCCCATCGAAGGCTTTAGCTGAACAATCAAGTTGGTCTCTGCAGGTTATCTCAGAACTGCTGCCACAACTGTCAGATACGAGCCCTCAGCGTAATGATTTCTACACTAAGTCTTCAAAATTGCGCGAAAACCTATTTTGTCTACAGTTCAAGGGCCTCCCGGGCAAGAAAGCCTTTCCAGGGGCTTGCAGAGTTGTAGTAGAATGAATGGGGTAGAGGTGGCTGCGGCGGCCGGGAAATAGAGGGGGGGGGGGGGGAGACAGGGGTGGAGGGGGGCAGATGAGTTCAGACGCCCTGAAGATCCCTGAGGCCGAGCGGCAGGGCACCTCAAGCGTGCCGAAAAACATGCAGAGAGACAAAGAGTCTGACGGAGTCTGACGAGAGTTGCAGTTCTGATCGAGACCAAGGCCGATCCTGCTGGCCACTCTTTGTTTGATCCACTTGGTTGTGGTTATTGTCCGACGTGGCAAAGGCTTTCAACTTCATCGATTGGGTCAAATCTTGGGTACATCGTGCATCGTCTTCTTTATCTCATTTTCCTCATCTTTGCTAACACCGTTGATATGCCAGTCTCATCCTAATGAGCTGACGACTGTTCGAGCCTATCCATCCGTCTTCTGCGGCGATTCCCGGCATCTCTCCATGGTCCTCATGAGTACTTCCGCATTTCTGCTACCTGCCGGCTTCCTTGCTTCCAGCATGTGGTTGGCACTACAGGTCCCAAGCAGGATTCAAAGATCAGACTTGCGATTCATGCGGTCTTGTTCATTTCTTTTCGGCCGCTTTCGACCCGGAGCTGAGCTCTTTGCTGTATGGCTTCTACTTCGAAATGCCTTGCTGGTAATGTTGCCTTTGGCACCCAAGAGCGTGAGTACGTTCGTGATGACAGTCACATTGTCATTTAGTGCGATCTTGTCTTCAGCCTGGCAGCCGTGGCACATGATCGCCTGCAACTGGCTGGACGTTTGCCTCACAACTTCGATGCTCTTCATTTCTAGTTTGGGATTACATGTTTCAGGTGAGGTCAACGAACAGTTGACAATTGGTGCATGCCTGGTGCTCCTGATCCTCATGTTCACGTCAATCCTCGCCCTAATCGTCTACGGCATTGGCAAGTATTGCAATCGAAGCAAGAAGAGATATCACTTCTTCATTTCGCATCATAAAAGCAAAGCCGGAAGTATGGCGCGGTGGTTGAAGATGTTGATCTTGAAGCGTGGCCAACGGTTTGCGACTTTCGCAGCTTGTCCCAAGTAGGGTTAAAAGTTAAGGTTCACGGGCAACCACAACTGGGAAAAGGCATATGCACTAGAGCATGCGTCCTTGCTTCAACACATTGACATGGAGTCCACGAATGCCACTAGATTGGGCAGTCAGCTGCTTGCGAATCGTGAGCCGACAAACGCACCATCCCAGCATCCTCAGCCACAACTGCTGTGCCATGCTGAGCGTCCACCTTCCTGGCAAAGGAGTTTCTTGGAGGGGTTTGTACGCCTCGTCTTCCCCCCTCCCTTAATGTCGTATCCTGATTAGTCTGGACCCCCTCAATAATGAAAAGTTTTCCAAAAATTATTCAGGAGACCCAATTTGGATTGCCCCCCCCACAATAAAGTAAAGTTTTTCGGGCATGGGTTTCGGAACAGAGAAAAAAAGAGAAGAAGATGATGAAAGAAAAGAGCAAAAGAAGAGCAGCTAGGGGGGGGGGGGGGCTGGCCTTCAAGCTTCCCGGGTTCAGGGTCTACGACCAGGCCTGAAAACAAGGATTCCTTATGACTTCGCTTATCTGAGGAGGCCTAGCCATCAAATTTTGAAGGGGGTAGTCCACGTGCTGCCCCGAAGCCCATTAAAAAAAAATTGCACCCCCACAATACTGTCAAGGTTTTCGGGGGGAGGGGGGCGGGGGGGCGCGCCTTCAAGCTTCCCGGGTTCAGGGTCGACGACCAGGCCGGAAAACAAGGATTCCTTATGACTTCGCTTATCTGAGGAGGCCTAGCCATCAAATTTTGAAGGGGGTAGTCCACGTGCTGCCCCGAACCCCATTTAAAAAAAAAAAAATTGCACCCCCACAATAATGTCAAGGTTTTCGGGGGGGGGTAAGGGGGGGGGGGGAGCTTACCTGAGCTGAGCTCATCTGAGCTTAATTATGTAAGAGGAGAGGGAAAGGAAGAGGAGAGGAAGAGGAGAGGGAAGAGGAGCGAAGAGGAAATGAAGAGGAGCCGGTGGGCCCGGGGCCGAAAATTAGTTTGGGGGGGTCCCTTTTTTTTTAACACTATTACGGGGGTGGATTTAGTTTGGGGGGGGGGGGCCCCTCACACTAATCAGGATACCACATTACCGCCCCTCTACGTCTCATGCAGTGGAGTGGGCGAGAGTGGCTTCCTGTCCTCAGGTGGATTGCGATAACTTGAGCGATTTGACGAAACTCTTTTGGCATCTGAGCCACGAGACCAACACCTCCATCTTCCTTCTCTCGCCGGACTTCTTGAAAAGAAAATGGTGCTTGGGGGAGATTGCCACAGCGAGGCATCTCAGCATGAAGCCATATGAAGCCACTATCCTCCACTTTTACTCCTTCCCTCCATGCTTAGAGTTAACTTAGAGTCTTAGAGTAGAATGCTGACAGAAAACAGGTCATCGTAAAGCCACATGGCCGACAATGCGTTTCATACACGCTTTTCATGCATCTCAAACAGACGGCGGAATTGATGAACTGTGAGGCTGCATGGTGTGCATTCTGTCGTGATTGCTTGGCCAGACTACGTGGAGCCAGATGAGGCTCAATTCTTGCCAAAAAGGGCAGAGAATGCCAGGAAATCACCAGGGTCATTGTCTCGTTGCTTCATTAGGTGAGGGTAGTAATAGCCTTTGCATCTAGCATCCCTCCATTCAGGGATTAGCGTTGAGGGTTGCCCTGCCCAGCCGATTAACGCCCGCGAGACAGGTAGTGGCAGCAGCCAGCAGTTTGGTTAAGATTTCAGAGGGAAACGGCTCAGAACGGTCTCTGGGGAGAAGGCATGGTTATTGAGTCTGGGTCCCTGTTCACTGGGTGGGCTGCTAGGGGGAACATGAGGATCCGCTCCAAATCGTCTGGGGGGGGGGGGGGGGGGGTGACCTTTCCTGCTGCCTATCTCAAGCTATTTCAAGTATTTCCAGGTGACGTAAACAGGTGCTCAGGGGGGGGGGAGGCGTTTGAGTCAGTTTTGGCAGTGAATTGGAGAGAGTAGGTACCCGGCCGGTTGGAAATAAGTGCATCGGCGTACCTCAGATTTTTGGCTTTGATCCGCAGAAGGGGCAAGCGCAACAACAAATCAATCAATTGTGCGCGGGCCTTTCCCCCACCCCTTCTCTCGGAAATAGGTTCCGGTGCTTATTTCCCCCCTTCCCCACCCCGCCCGAGGGATCCTCGTGGGGGAACCTCCGACTCCCGCAATGTTGAAAACTCCACTGTCCAGTTTCACACAAATGTTGGACGACGCGGGCGGGCCTAGCGAGCGGGGGTTGCTCGGGCCTAGCGAGGCCCGCAGAAGAAGAAGGAGAAAGATAGAGAGAGAGAGAGGGGCGTCCTCCCTTCGGGGGGGGTCATGCGTGGGGGAGAGAGAGAGAGAGAGAGAGAATGGCATACCGCCCCATCTTGTGACAGAAACCCCACCCCAGCCGGGCCGCAATACGCGGCCATCTCGCATGACTTCTGGGACGTGCGCGCCCTCCGGGGCAGCTCTCCTTTCGGGGGGGGCTAAGCGTGTGGAGAGAGAGAGAGAGAGAGAATGGCATACTACCGTGTTCGGGGGAAGGGTGGGGGCTTCACTCGATGTCCAAAGTTGCCATCTCCCGGGAAAGATGTATCACTCAGACTGGGTCGCGTCAGGCCCCGTAGAAGAAGAAGAAGAAGAAGAAGAAGAAGAAGAAGAAGAAGAAGAAGAAGAGAGAGAGAGAGAGAGCGAGAGAGCGAGAGAGAGGGTAGGGGAGGGGCAACAGCGCCAAGCCCGACCTGACCTCCCCGAGCAAAACTGAGGATCCCCGAATACCGGGGCAGGCGCACAGCCAGGGGGTTCGCCCCCACGCCCCCAAGAAAGAAAGAAAGAAAGAGAGAGAGAGAGAGAGAGAGAGAGAAAGAAAGAAATAAAGGGCGACCGACGGCTGGACTTGTGTATTTACCAAATGAAGCCGAGTGTACTGCGAAACTGGCTTCAGTTTACAGGCTCACGCTTTGACATTGCCAAGCGCATCCAGTTTTGTCTTCCGATTGGTGCTAGCCATGTTGGGGTGGGTACCGGCGAACAACGAAAAACTACCGGCGGACAACGAAAGATGTCTCATAACAACGAAAGAGAACAACGTAAACGGCCCGCCAACATCGATCCATGTCCGGCGGCAACCATCCCCGTCCGGCGAGCAACGAAAAACCCTTCTGCCGAGCATCGAACACCTGCCGCCCAGCATCGAAAAACCCTCCGCCGAGCATCGAAAAACCTTTTGGCCAAGCATCTCAAACTCTGTAACCTTTGCAGGAAGACCGCCATCGATCCACCCCGTGTCATCGTCTACATGGGACGTTGTCAAAGAATGCTGTTGGGATGGTGCTTCTTTAGTGTTTGTTGGACTCGAGGTTTCTTAGAGATGAGGGTTACCTGGGGTCAAGCAAGTGAACTTCTTAACGGCCTCTTCAGTACGGACTAAGCCTTTCAACCTTGCCAGGGGGGGAGGGGCTGAAACTGAAACTGAAAACATTCGGCTGTGACCTGGCAGGGACGGGTGACGGGGCTATGTTAGACCAGACAAGATGCTTGAGGGGCGGGGGGGCTGGGCGAGGGGGCCTTTGTTAAAACCGAAACTCAAAAAAAACTGCAATTTTGCAAAACTGAAGAGTTCTGGCTGCAACCCTGACAAGGGGGCTGGGGGCCGATGTTAGAACCGAAATGACAGGGAGTTAGAACCGAAATTGAACAGAATCGGCTGTAAACCTCAACTCGAGAGACCCTAACCCCCCAAACTCGAACCCTCAACCCCAGAGCCTAAAACCCTCAACTCTAAAACCCTCAACGCACCCCCAAAGCCCCTTGGATACACCAAAGAAGGCCCCTACACTCCCTAGTTCAGGGTTTAGGGTTGAGGGTCGCGCAGCCCCGCTCCCCCCGCTTTTTTCAAGCCGCGCAAGCTTGCTTCAAATCATATGAATGTCTTGCTATGGACATATAGATAAAATGGAGGTCTGTTGTTCTATGTAAATACACACCAAATAGGCTTTTGTAAATGTAGAGAAAATCATGGTTTTCTATGTGAAGATAGCGAAAATAAGTGTTTTCCTACGGAAATATTGACAAGATGTAGTTTTTTGTCCTATGGAAATACACAGAACTGGCTGACCCTCCCCCACCACCCCCACCCACACAACACAACCCCTCCCCCCCATTAAAAAAAAAAGACCACCCCATGTCATCGTCTACATGGGACTTTGTCAAAGAATGCTGTTGGGATGGTGTTTTTTTGCTCGAGGTTTCTTAGAGATGAGGGCTACCTGGGATCAAGCAAGTCGTTAGCGTCAAGGCCTGAACTTCCTAACGGCCTCTTCAGTACGGACTAAACTAAACCTCTCTATACCGGGGCGGGAGCGAGGGGCCTATATGTTATTGCCGAGCCCGTCGTCCGTCCCCGAACTCCCGGCCGTCCCGTCCCGTCCCGTCCCGTCCCGTCGGCGGACATCGAAAACCAACTGGCGGACATCGAACGGGAACCGGCGAACATCCACAGGTCACATCTTGTCTTTCGTTGTCGTGATGACTTTTTCGTTGTTCGCCGGTAATATTCCATGTTGACTACCATGTTGCCGAGAGCACATCCTTGGTGTCAGGCGTTCATTGAGCACTATGCAACGTTGGTGCCGGACATTGTGCATCTCGTGCCTCACAATATCAGCTTAAGAGAAGTTCAAGAATCTTTGCGGTGGATCCATGGCCTACAGTCTTTCCAGCTCCCAAAATCTTTGACCTCAGATTCTTGGACCACATTCTATTTGCGTTCTATGCCCGGTATCACACTCGTTATTTCTGAAAATCTTCGTGCGTGCCTATAGAGTCAGAGTACAGACGTTTGTGGACAGCATCCTCCCAAGACGTCTTCTCAGGAGTCCATGGCGCATGTGGTGGACAAGCTGACTGGGACCGCGCTACACGTGATTCGCCCTGCAGATGATCTCGAGAGGCGCATCTGTGTTAGTAGCATCCCTGCAAGAAGGGGCTTGTCGCCCTATTGACTTCTTAATCTTCTTAGGTTGGAAAAGCCGGTGAAGTGGTTAAGACGATTAAGTAACAGCACGAGCAGGTCACGCCGGAAGCTTGCACTGGAAATTAGTGAAAATAGCCCATGGAACTCTGACTCTGTTGTCCGGCCATCAAAGCAAGGAAGCATTAACGTCGTGCTGTCGGAAGATGTAAGAATAATCAAATGGACCCATACCTAGACTGCAAGCACGTCGGATCACGGGTTAGTTCTACATATTGTTTACATTTGCCTGCTTCAACAACTTTCCGAATTTAAAACGTTAAAGCCATCACTTAAAGCCTTTTGGCAACTTGACAGGACCGAGAGCTGCTGCATTGTGGCTGATCCTCGCAACTCGGAGGCCATAGCGGCAGCCTACATCATCGGCGACTTGATCAGCCTCCCTTTCATGAGACCCAGCCATGTTGGGGGCGGGGGAAATGTTATCGCTGCGCTGTCCGCCTTGGCCGGGGCCGTGCTGTAGCCGGCAGTGAGCTGTTCGTGAGTTCCTCCGCGGTTCCGCAACCCTGACAGGCTAATCAGGCCATCAAGGGTACTAGTTTCCAAAAGGGAATCACTTCTTACAAAATGACGAATGGGCCGGGGGTCTTGCAGCACACTGCCTACCGTAGTATAGACTTGTAAAGGCCCCTGAAAGGCCCATCAAGGCCCTTGCCCTACGAGTCCCGGGAAGTAGACAGTGCTTGGCAGGTTTGTCAAGTACCCTCAGCACCCTCCGACGCCCTGGGGCCCTGAAAGCCCGTCGGCAAGGGCGTACTCCATTTACGCCCCCAAAAAGGGTAACTGGTGCGTTAATATAGGAGGGTATCTGAGACAGCTCTGAGGATTCCTGTGCATCCTTCATAACCGTTGATTTCAGTTGTACACGAAAGACTTTGTACCGAAAAATCAGGACGCTCACCTGCCAGACGTTGATCATGACAACGAGCGATACCATCCCGAACAAAGCAGCCTATGCGGTGGTGGTGTGCACCGAAGGACTGTCGAGAATTCAGGGGTGGCCCTGAAAAAGAGCATACCACCGGGGATGATTGTGGTGAGAAACAGTTCTCTACCAAGAAGAACACTCGAGATTTTAGGTTGACGTGTGGTATCATGGCGGGCTTCAGGTTAAAGTTGGAAAGGCATGTCAATGTCAAAATGGTGTCTTTCGCTAGGCTGCCTCGAGTCAGCGGACTGGGCATCCTGGCTTGTCCAACTCAGCCACAAGACCTGCCGTGCATTGCCGGTGTTTGCCGATGAGGATTTTCAACTCCCAGGTGCCTCCGATGTATCAAGCAAGCGGCATTGCCAAAACCTTTTTTTTGTGAAGGTGACCCCGACAAACAAGCCCGGCCTCCGCAACAAAAAGAAACTGCCCGTTTTGTTTTGCTGCGGCATGTTTTTTTGTTAAGGCGACTCAGCAAAAGAAATGCGCACCCGACCTCCGCAGCAAAAAACGCGTCCGGCCTTCATTGCAACAAAAAGGGTGGACCACGAAGGCAGGCCGGCAAGTGAGCAACAAAAAACGTGCCCGGCCTCAGAGGAATACGACTTGCGCTACCACTGCAAGTCCTAGTCCTAGTCCTAGTCCTAGTCCTAGTCCTAGTCCTAGTCCTAGTCCTAGTCCTACTACTACTACTACTACTACTACTACTACTGCTACTACTACTACTACTACTATCACTACTACCACTACCACTACCACTACCACTACCACTACCACTACTACTACGACTACTACTACTACTACTACTACTACTACTACTACTACTACTACTACTTCTACTACTACTACTACTACTACTACTACTACTACTACTACTACTACTACTACTACTACCACTACCACTACCACTACCACTACCACGACCACTACCGATGGGATTCTTCTTGGCGTAACATTACATCCTAAGAAATGCATGGGGAAAAGGTAAGAAGAATACCAAGAAATATTGAATGTAGATGAAAAAGAGAGTGTACCAGAGGATAAAAGCAAATAAAAAACTTACTGTCAACAATCTTTTCTCCATTAAAAATTTGTCCAGAGAAGACAGAAATTATAGCTCCTAAAGAAAGAACGAAATGAGAATGTGCTACAACATAATATCCTGTAACTAGATCTACTGCAGCATGTCCAAGAATCATTCCTGTAGAACCACCTGTAGTAAACATTAATATAAAAGAGATGTGAGAAGAAGACAGAACTAATTCTAAGGTGTAGTAACGGTGGGTTTCCAAGATATGTAAAAGGCCAATTCAAGATTTTTGTACCAGTTGGTAAGTATATTAAGATTGTAACTCCTGTAAAATATGCTCTTGTGTCACTTTCTAAACCTACAGTATACATCCCCAAACAAGACTTGCAAGACGAGAAACAGATGACATGGCAGAGATCATTGACTGGATACCAAAGGGTTTATTTCAGTGCGGCACGTTGCTGGTATACCGTACAGTATCCCTTCTGGGCCGTGTGAGCTTCTTGAACCAATTCTCTTGAGCGGCGCTATCGGATATCGGCTGCAGTCATGTCTTCAAGATGTATCACGGCACTATACTTGCGAGCGGCTGAAGTCCCAAGAAGAATAGCGAGTTACAGACCAGAGATGGACATGAAGATTTAAATGCAATTGAGGAACTGTTGCTTTGGACACGTTCCGTAGGTGCTGATCTCTACCGCCAGCTGAACGGCTACCCTCATCTTACCGATACCATGGCAGCAGCTTTGACCATGACCATCAGGGCCTCTCGTCATCTGTCAAAGCCTGCGAGTCTGTGTCAACACGCAGCAGGCTTTTGGATTGCTACATATTCCAGCAGCAGTGCGTGTACACGATAATATGCAGCTAACAGGTGTATGCGCAGCAAAAAAATGAAACGACGTATCTCTGCCCAGTCTCGCAAGGTCTCGCAAGTGTGAGCCCCCATATCCTGAATCACTCTATCATTGCAACAAGTGCAACACGATGTGAGATGACTATATTTGTCCTGTGGTTTCCTTGCGGCGAACGTTCGCCAAACTTGCCGTCGCTTTGCTTCACATGATGGTAACGATATGATAACCCTACACAGGTGAGATCGACATCTGTAGTGGGGCTCTTTGAATCGCCATGTTTTGTCGGACCAACATCTAATGAGGGCGGGGTCATCCCAAAGCGGCAGCAGCTCTGTATATGCTCAAGGCGTGTCAGCGGCAGGGTCATGTACTTATCGACGGGCCTCAAGATGTCATACAGTAAAGGGAACACTCAGGGATCATGGGAACCCCAACAATCTCCGAAGTGAGTGTTGGTGGATAGCCGTGGATAGCGGTTTTAGTATATATATATATGTAGATTTATTGTAAATTTAGCTGGCTCTGCTGCTCAAGTTGAAACCAAACAAGGGTTTCTTATCGACGACTGAAATTGGAGCTGGCGCTGAGGCTCTCTTCGAAGAAATTGGAATAATGTGTTTGCCGGGTGCCTCAGGAATTTTAGCATGTCGGCAGGAAAGGGTCGTCAATCACTCATGTTTGTCTTGCCACGGCCAGTACAATCTACATCCCAGCGCACTAACACTCCTGAGTCCTCTTATCTCCTCCTACGGCACGTCCAAAATGTGAAGCCTGGGGAGGGATCTCATCGCCAACATGCCAGGGTGCAGCTGGCATCACAGGAGGAGTTGGATCTTCGTGCTCGACAAATCGTTACAAGATTCACCAAGTCGCCACCGCCTCCGCTGCCCTTCAAGTTGGAGAACAGGAAGCCACCGGCCCACTTCACCTCACAAGAGGCAGGTAAGTTTCATCCCAGTTCAAACCCAACTGCAAATCTGCTTGAGATTCGGCAGTTGTGCAACACGCAGGTGGCTCGGGTGACTCGACCTGAAGACTCTCGGAACGAAGACGATCAGGACAAGGAGAGCGATGATGAAATGGTCGTCTGGGTATTTTAAAGATACTTGGCGGGATTTTGCCCAGAGGGCAAGCAATCCTCCATTCCATGTGTTTGATCTAGCTGCGCTGTTTTCTTGATGCCTCGGGTGGCCCAAGATATCCCAAGGGAACGCACAGAGTGCCTTGGGCCATGGAGACGCAAAGAGCTTTCGGCCGAAAACAAGCGCAACAAACCTGACAGCTTCCGCCTCATGCACAGTGACGGCGAAGCTGTTTGAATTCCCAGCTGTGCGGATTTGAGAATCAAGATTGCCCAGGCAGGCGGCCTCCATTCTCCGTGCCAAGCGGCTTGGCAGATGGCTGACTGACGCTATGCGTGGTCAATGCTGGAGGACGTTCTGCTTGCGTCATTAGTTGGAACTGCGAGGCAGTTGCGACCATCTTGCAGATAATCTGGAGCAGCTAACGAATGTTGGACGCGCTGTAGCGGGGGCCCCCTGAATGAAATTGAACGAAAGCAAGTTTGCCGGGCTATTCTGTTTGGGGGTTCCTGGTTAAAGTCCGAGTCCAGTCGTTCCCAAAATCTTCTTTCAGAATTTAGGGTTTGTTTTGAAGCCAACTTTAAAACCGATGCCCTGGCCCCTTGGCTTAAAGGCCGGGCCTCTGAATCTTAAAGGCAAGCCTTCTTTCCGAGACGCCGAAAACCCGAAATCCCAACTGACAGAAGTCAAGATCCTCCAAAGAGAAGTGAGCGCATTGCAAAAGCCTGAACCCGAAAAGCCCAGCCCCGAAAGAAAGGCAACGTCATTGTAATTGTAAAACCCCGAACTGCAAAATCCCCGGAAAAGAGGTAAGGCTTTCAGAGACCCTGAACCCTAACAGACCCTGAAGAATGCCGTCGTACTGACGCTTGAAATGTAACATGATAAGCCTCAACCCTTTCAGACACTTGAGAATGGGAAGTGCATTGCTATACCCTCAACCCAAAAAACCTTAGAAAAAGTCACATCTTCCTGCGATAAGACAGGCATCTTGCAAAACCCTAACCGTAAAACCTAACCGTAAAACCTGAACAGTTCAGATCTTCCTTCTGCAAGGTTGAAGCTTCTGCCTACAAGGGCGCTCCTCCAAAGAAAAGTAACAGCTTTGCAAAAGTCTCAACCCCCGAAAAAATCCAAAGAAGGTAACGTCGTTACAAAACTCCGAGCCATAAGCAGCCCCTGAGCCTTGCAGAACAAGATGCGACATCGCTTGGGGAGGCGAATCCCCTCTCTATGTGACCATCTCTTTAGAATCTTCAGAACATCTCGCCAACTGTGAGTCTTCGCTTGACGTGCTCGATAGTGTCATGCTGAACAAAGCGCTTCTGACTCATGACACCTTGGACATCACTTTGCGCCGGCGCTTTCTGGTATTGGTAGTATTTGTATGGTACTATACTTCAGGACCTTACTTCCCAGCGATGTCGAGAACGACCGGAGACCGCGGTCACGCGCTCACATACAGATGCGGCTGCGTTTCGATGCATCTCATTCCTGCGGGTCCAAGGTCAATAGGCACATTGGCTCTTTCGGAAATGCTGGAAGGGGCATCGATCTTTCGGAAATGCTGGAAGGGGCATCGATCTCTCCAAGAAGGCACACACAGACACTTCAAGGATCGGCGGCTCCGACTTGTGCTGTGACTGCATCCCTTCCGCCTTTGCCGCCCCACGTCCTGCATCTGTTGACCTATGTGCCGAAGCGTCCAAAGGCCTCTGGAAGCCTGCGCGCACTTGGCATATCTTGGGCATCACACTCGGTGCCACTGGTGCCACTGGTGCCATCGTTGCCCGATGCAACACCGTGTCTGCAGCTTCGGCTGCGATCAACTGCGATCTTGGTCTCTTGTTCCTTCATTGTGTTCGTGTTCGTGATATTTTCTGAAGTTTCTGAAGTTGTGATGGGCTGTAGAGGTTGAGCTGGCAATTGGCACACTGAGCTCTTAGCACAGAAATGGGTGCGAAATCTGATAGCGCCGTGTTAGCTTCTTCGTTTCGTGTTTGTTTCTCGCAGAGCTCTCATGTTGTCGCCCTGCTACAGCGCTCGAGAACTGAGGTGAAAAACTTGGTAATGGATGTGCCTCCAGCCAGTGTTGACCTTGCACACAAGTGGCGCCAGAATTCGTGCAAAGTGACTGGTCGCAGGATCCGGCCAGGAGCCAAGGCTCGTTGGTCGCACATGGCAGTTGGCAGTAGAGCGCGAGGGGTGCCGCGGGCAAGATTGTTTCTAGATGTTCTCAGAAGCTCCCCAGCTGCAGCAAAGGGCTCTTCTTGGTCGTATGCGACGATCGTTGAAGAGATAGCTCGGCATCCGTTCAAGGAGTTTCTTGCCAGGCCTGGCTGTGCTCAGCCACTTCTCTGAGCTAGCAGATGATGATGTGCCGATATCTGCTGTATTCCCAGGTAGTTTCATCGTGTCGTTTTCCATCGTTTTCCCATGGACAACCAGATACCACAAACCCCTCATCCCATCCCAAACCAGAAATCCTAAACACTGAAGCCACACCTAGACTCCTAGACCTAAACCCTGAACCGACCTGCGCCTAAACCCCATGACTTCAACCCGACCGGGCTGCTCAGCCGACGCTGCTTCCTGCGTCCTGCGTGTCAGGCTCTCAAGGTTAGGATCTAGCGTGCGAGGGCTTGTTTGTTGTAGGGACAAGGCCACGAGATCCAAACACGTTTGTAGCTCTACAAAACATTGGGCTGTAGGACTGGGATAGCCGGCTCTCAGACAGGTTTGGTAGCGCTTACAACGCAGCTTGGGCTGCTGCAGGAGGTGTAGTGATGCTGAGCCTTGGTGCTGGTAGCACCGTGGCCTTGCGTCCTTCCTTCTGTGCATCCCAGGCATGCGGTGTTGGTGCTGCCAGACTTGTTTGACAGCTTGCTGTCCGCGTCAAACCTCCACCCTGCTTGACTGAATCCTGAGCCATTGCAAGCCCCGCTGGTCCTAGACCAAGCCCACGCCACCGTCCCTCCGCCCCATTGATTTGACATCAATGGAGGTTTGAAGTCCCATGCGCAGGCTTGAGCCTCAAGTGTGTTGAGTGTGCGACGTTACATGGACTCCTGCCGTGCGGGTATTGCCAGCTCTTCGTGGGAAGCCTGACTCGCCAGCATCGCACCACGCCGCCTGCCACGCGCCCCCGTCCTCAGCACTCAGACCCACTGGCCACGACGCCCGACACTGCTCAAGCCCACCGTTGTCTGCAGGCACGTGTGCATGCACCGGTGCAAGTGTGCGCTGTGCATGCGTGCGTGCCTGCAGCAAGTGGTGGGCTCGAGCCGTGTCGGGCGGTCGTGGCCAGTGGGCCTGTGCCGAGGACGGGGGCGCGTGGCGGGCGGCGTGGTGCGATGCCGGCGAGTCAGGCTTCCCACGAAGAGCTGGCAATACCCGCACGGAAGGATGGCCATGCAACGTCGCACACTCAGCACACTTCAGACTCCAGTACCTGCCATGAGCCTTCAAGCCAAGTGGGCATGGACTGGTGGGGCTGCAACGGCTGTGATGGATTTGGAAGGGCTGGGTGTGGGCGGAGGGACGGTGGCGACATGTGGCGACCAAGACGGCTCACTCATCGAGGTTCGGTTAGACAGCATGAAAAAATCTTGTGGCCTTGCAGCTTTAGTCGGCTTGTCAGCGAAATCCCCAGCTTTAACAATACATCGTTGGGAGATGGCGCAGCGAGTTGACAATCTTGCTTGCAAAAGGACATCTGTGGGAAATGAGAGTGAGACTCCAAACTTGGACGTCGGATTTTCTGTTTGTGTGTGACAAGGGTATACAGTACAACCATGATCTGGCAATCATCTGGCAACAATGCAAAACCGCTCAGACGCATAAAATCTCAAATATAACAGCAAAGTATTTACGGTCCTCTTCCCTCCATATACGTGTCCATACATGAAGCCCATCTATCTGCGATTCCACAAGAACTCTTCTTATGTCTTTGCACAGTTTGTGTATTTATACGCGTGGTGTGGTGAATGCGCGGCGCGGTGAGTGCACGGTGTGGTATAATATGCGTGGTGTGGTGAATGCGTAGTGGTGTCGTGTTTTGCGCCGTGCAGTGCATGCTGGTGCGGTGCGCGCATGCATGATGCCTCTATGCATGGTGGGGTGAATGATGGTGAATGTGTAGTGCAGTGCACGTGTGGTGCGCTGCCTCCTGGTGCGGTGTATATATGTGGCGCGGCGTATGTGTGCATGCGTGTGCGGTGTATGTGCAACACGGTGTATGCGTGGGCGTTATGAACGCGGGTTTGGGGGCTATATAGCGGTTTGTTTAGGGTTTTACGGTGTATGCATGGTGTGTGGTGCACGTGCTGATATGTGGTGTATGCCGTGGTTGATGTGTGTATGTGTAGTGAGTGGGGCATGCGCGGTGCGTGTGTGCGAAGAGTACGCGTGGCGTGCCGTATGCGGGGCGCACTGTATGCCTGGTGCAGTGCATGCGTTGCCCAGCATGGGCCCATGCTTTCAACCTTAATCAGGCACTCGTCCCAAGGCCCTCCTGGTACACTTACTTGGAGATATAATTATGGTATTCAATCATGCCCGAATGGAGGGTAGGTGGGGAAATCCAGGTGACAGCTTTTTACTCTGAAATACCTATAATATAATATAAACTAAGCCCTGAAACCCTATACAGCCTCAACGTTCAAACAGTCAAAACCTCAAGCCTAAACCTTAAACTCTAAATGCTCCTGTGTGTACAGGTTGACTATGTTTGTTCCCTAAGGATTCAGCATTGTACCTAGACCGCCCCCACATACCCTCAAAAGAGTCCAGATACAAACGCAGTTTAGAGTTAGGGTTACTTGGCGTTTAAGATTTATTTAGGGTTGTAATCCCAGCTGTTTGGGCGAACACCGCCGCGTGCAGAGCCATGGCTGAGGAAGGGGCGGAGAAGACTGAGTTCCTCGCTTTATCGGGTTCAGGGCTTTATTAGGTTTGGGTTTTAGGGTTCATAGTTTCGGGTTTAGTCAGTCGGGAGAGATTTTTGAGGTACATACACCGTGTTTAGTTATGGCAAGACCCCAGGGTGAGGTGGCGGCGCAAGGGCGTAAAGAGGGACCAATATTAGGTTTCCATATTCCGCAAATACCTGTATAGTATTGGTGTACATTTGGGTCCGCCCTCAGCCCTAAATACCCGCCTTACTCCAAGGTATGGCTTGGAGAAGTTCCATCAACTCTTGGAGCTTCTCATCGCCAACATTCGCCTCGCGCCTCGGAAGATTCTTTCGGAAAAAGAGCTCGTGCTTAGGAACCCCTAAAGCGCCTAAACCCATAAACCCCGAAGCCCTGAATCAGAAGCCATGACAACAGAGTTTTTTTGACCAGACCATTCCGACAAAAAGGGCACCCGCTCCTGAAGAGATCCGTGCATAAAAGCGTATCATACTCTGGGCCTCCAAGTTTTTAGGGTTGGTGTACCTTGGAAGTCAGGATTTAGGGATGAGGAGTTAAGATTTATGGTACAGGGTTTAAGGTTGCCTTAGGGCTATAGTAGGCTACTCGGGCATTATAGGGTATATAGAGCACAGAACCCATTATTTCGGTAGCTGGATCGTTTGGAACGTTCACCGCAAGGATCTTTAAGGCATTTTAGGATTTTAAGGAAGGGATCTGGGAAACCCTACACCCCAACCCTGAACCTCGAGCTGCAGGTGCGGGCCGAGTATTTGCTGAAGCTGGCGCAAAAGGGGAAGCTTTGGCCAAGGCGCCAGGAGGTAGAGACTGGGCTGCTGTTAAGCCATGCATATAAAGTGACCATGAGGGTTCTAAAACTATATGAATGGTAAGATAAATATGTATATATATACATATAGATATACATATATATATATATATACATATACATATCTGTATATACACACGTATCAATGTGTTTAGTAACTTTATCAGTGTGTTTAGTAACTTTAGTATGTTCCCCCTGGCATGGAAACCGAGAACCAAGGAGCAGGAGACCTTCACGGACCAGAACGGACGATCACAGACTGCCTTGGTAACCTTGGAGGAGTACCAGATGCTCAAGACTGACGGCTCTGAATCGAAGAGTATGCACATTATCTCCGTATTTCACTGTTGGGAGGCTGCGCAACATCCGGACCCTTTCGGAAGCCAGTCACGACGTCTGGCAGAACAGCTTCAGAGGGAGTCTAAATGGCTCGGTCTGGACATGTAGTGCTTTGTGGACTTCATGTCGCTTCCACAGCACTGCCGCACCACAGAGGAGGAAGCCTTCAGCCAGAATGCCAAGGCATCGCACGTCCTCTACGCCCATAGATCCGTTGAGAAGGTGATCATACTGGAGGAGCTCACCAGGCTGACAAAAGGGAGAGGCCAAGCACAATCAACATTTACTACGAAGACAAGGATCAAGAGACGGGAACAGGTGTGTTTGGGCCACAGCCATTCGACGATGGGGTGTCGCAGAGGCTCAGTTTGCGCTGCTCACAAAACAACAGGTCCTGCAAGGATTTGCTCCGATTTGGCCTGCCAGGATCGGGTGTCGTCTGGCTGTTTCGAAGGAGTCGAGGAACGAGGATGGCATACCCTTAAAGTTCACCCACAAGACGACGAGGAGATGGTGGTGAAGCTGCATAGAAACTGGGTGCCCCAGTAGAAACATGTTTCCCTTTGTATTTGGGTTTCCGAATCCAAGCTGAGTATTGAGGAAAAAGGGTGCCCGAATTATGAAGGGGCTTAAAACGTAAATCTGAAATCCTAAGCCCTAAATCCTTTTTGTCAAAGGGTTGCTGGGGAACCCTAAACCCTGAACACTATAAATCCTAAACCTTCAAAACCCAAAACCTTCAACCCTAAACCCTCATTGTTATGAAGGGCTTTCTTTGGAACCTAGGAAAGATCAGCAGTCCAAGGTGCAAAAGAACATGTCTTCGGCCTTGGTCTTGACAACTTGAAGAGGTTCTCTCGGCGTGAGGCCTTAGACGACTTAGGCGACTTTGTGGGGAGCCGAAAGATCTTAAAAAAAAGAAATAAAATGCTTCTTAGTTTTTCTTTAGCTCCAATAGATTTATCAGTAAGTTTTCGATGGAAGCTATGGAGTAATGTTAACTCTTCTGACGAGCCTATTAATGAAATTGAAGTAAATGCAAAATTTGGAGGATCTAAAATCACATAAATGTAGAAACCTAGAATTAATATTTAAAAATCTAGTATAGAATTAGAAAATCTTAAAGATGAATTAATAAGTATTCGATGGAATTATGATTGGAAGAATTTGAATAATTTCAAGCATAGATTAATTACATCAGAAGAAAATTTAAAAAATTATGAAATAATATCCCCATAAATATCCCCATAAAAGGCTACGGGCTCGACCCCTATTTTCGCTCTGCGGCCGCCCTGTCGGATGCCCCGCCTCCTCTTCCGGTCCATTTGGCTGCTTGTGAGGGCCTGGCAGGGGGATCCTGAAAATTCCGGGAAGTTTAACACTTTTGGTCTAAAAATCCTGGGAATTTTGGGAATCACCCGGAGCTGAAAATTCCCGGAATTTTAGGAATTGTCCGGATTGAGGTTTGGGCTTGCCGGGTTGGATTTAAGGTTCCAGCGCAACAGTGATGACGTGGGTGCCCCTTCACCTTCAAGGAAATCTTCAAGGAAATCTCTTGGTCCGGGGTAGTTCCGATGACGGTCGCCGCCCGCCAGCTGTTCAAGGGGGTTCGGCCTCACCATCACATATCAGCAACAGCTCTCGAAAAACCCTAGGAATTCAAAATTCCGGGAATTTTCGGGATCCCCCGGGTTCAGGGTTTTACGCTTTACGGTGTAGGGTTTTGGGGTTTAATAGAAATTGTATAGGGTTTGTGTCCGGAGTTTTGTCGTGTTTTGGGGGGTTTTGTTTTTTGCTTTTGCTGTAATGGTTTGGGTTCTGTCGGGTGTGGTCGGGGGTGGGTGGTTTTGGGGTGAGGAGGGGTTGGGGCTGCAAGGCTGGGGTTTTGGGGGGTTTTCCCGAATGCCCGTGGTGGTGGTCCCGTGGTGGTGGTCCGTGGTCCCGTGGTGTTCGTCGTGGTGGTCCCACAGCGTGGTGGTTGTCCCGTGGTGGTGGTGCTCCTTTGGTAGTGGTGGTCTGTCGTGGTGGTGGCGGTGTCCGTGGTGGTGTCCGTGGTGGTGGTGGTGGTGGTGGTGGTGGTGGTGGTGGTGGTGGTGGTGGTGGTCCCTGGTGGCCGTCGTGGTGGTCCCGTGGTGGTGGTCCCGTGGTGGTGGTCCCATGGTGGTGGCCGGGTGGCGGTGGTCCGTGGCGGTGGTCCGCGGTGGTGGTCTCGTGGTGGTGGTTCCGTGGTGGTGGTCCTGTGCTTGTCTCGTGGTGGTGGTCCCGTGGTGGTGGTCCCGTGGTGGTGGTCCGTGGTGGTTGGTCCGTGGTGGTGGTTGGCGGGGGTCCGTGCGGGTGGTTGTGTTGGTGGTCGTGGTGGTGGTCTCGTGGTGGTGGTCTTGTGGTGGTGGTCTCGTGGTGGTGGTCTTGTGGTGGTGGTCTCGTGGTGGTGGTCTCGTGGTGGCGGTCCGTGGTTTGGGATCTTATTTTCAGGAATGATTGGATCATTTGAATTTCGATTCATAGAGGGGATGCCATAGGACTATCGAAATCCAATATCTTAATATCATCGCAACCTTCTTGGATCTATAAGAATGGTTTATGAATTTTCTTTTCATTCGAATTCTTTGTAGGATGTCTCTCGCGCAGGATCATGGATCGAATCTGTTTCTTGAATACGATGGATATTATTGGGGGAGATTGAAATTATATTTCGTCTCATCAGAATAGTTTTTGAATCGGTGATTCATCTCATTTTTGTTTCTTTATATTTAGGAATCTTCGATTCTTCTTTTTCTTTTTCGTTTTTATGGGATGATTTGTAATTGGGAATGATGATGGATTTTTAAGCACGTCGAGGCATCTTGGAGAATTCGAAACTCATTTTGCTCTCTTGGATGAGGATTTCTTTTCATTTGTTTAGGCACACATAATTCTTGGATGATGAATTTCATATATCTCTATAAAAGGCTACGGGCTCGACCCCTATTTTCGTTCTGCGGCCGCCCTGTCGGATGCCCCGCCTCCTCTTCCGGTCCATTTGGCTGCTTGCGAGGGCCTTGCAGGGGGATCCTGAAAATTCCGGGAGTTTTAACGCTTTTTATCTAAAAACCCTGGGAATTTTGGGAATTCCCCGGAGCTGAAAATTCCCGGAATTTTAGGAATTGTCCGGATTGAGGTTTGGGCTTGCCGGGTTGGATTTTAAGGTTGCAACGCAACAGAGAAGGTCTGCAAGAGAGCTCTTGCTACAGGGAAGTTGAGCTGCTACAGGGAAGCTGAGCTGACGGTCGCCGCCCGCCAGCTGCTCAAGCCGCCCGCCAGCTGCTCAAGCTGCGCAAGTGGGGTCAGCTTCATGATCACACATCCGCAGGGGCAGACTTAACATATTCGCACGCTCACTTCCACCTGGCAGCATGCTGGCCACGACTAAGATTACTGCAGAGACCATCTGACCTTTCGCGCTTGTGCAGCGGTGCTGTAGTTCTTCGCCAGCGGCTGTGTGCTGTGGGCCTTCCGCCCAAGTTGTCGAGTTTCTTTTCGCTGATGCTACATGTTGCTCGAGTTAGTCGCGACAAAGCTGCAATGCTTGCAGGTCTTCATGTCATCCTTCCGAGTCTGGGATGCCTTCGGATGCCCCACCTCCTCTTCCGGTCGATTTGGCTGCTTGTGAGGGCCTTGCAGGGGGATCCTGAAAATTCCGGGAATTTTAACGTTTATTGTCTAAAAGTCTTGGGAATTTTGGGAATCACCCGGATCTGAAAATTCCCGGAATTTTAGGAATCACCCGGATTGAGGTTTAGGCTTTCCTTGGGCTGTCACGGCGTTGTCCGCTTGGTCCGCTTGGGTGGTTTTGGGCTGTCACGGTGTTGTCCGCTTGGTCGGTTTTGGGCTGTCACGGCGTTGTCCGCTTGGTCCGCTTGGGCGGTTTTGGGCTGTCACGGTGTTGTCCGCTTGGTCGGTTTTGGGCTGTCACGGTGTTGTCCGCTTGGGTGGTTTTGGGCTGTCACGGTGCTGTCCGCTTGGTCGGTTTTGGGCTGTCACGGTGTTGTCCGCTTGGTCCGCTTGGGCGGTTTTGGGCTGTCACGGTGCTGTCCGCTTGGTCGGTTTTCGGCTGTCATGGTGTTGTCCGCTTGGGCGGTTTTGGGCTGTCACGGTGTGGTCCGCTTGGTCGGTTTTGGGCTGTCACGGTGTTGTCCGTTTGGGCGGTTTTGGGCTGTCGCGGTGTTGTTTTGGGTTGTCACGGTGCTGTCCGCTTGGTCGGTTTTGGGCCGTCATGGTGTTGTCTGTTTGTTTTGGGTTGTCACGGTGTTGTCTGTTTGGTCGGATGTTCGTTGTCACGGTGTTGTCCGCTTGGGTGGTTTTGGGTTGTCATGGTGTTGTCTGCTTGGTCGGTTTTGGGTTGTTATGGTGTTGTCCGCTTGGTTTGGTTTGGTGGTTTTGGGTTGTCATGGTTTTGGTTTGTTGTGGTATTGTCCGTTTGGTCCGCTTGGGTGGTTTTGGGTTGTCATGGTAATGTCCGCTTGGTCGGTTTTGGGTTGTCACGGTGTTGTCTGTTTGGGCGGTTTTGGGTTGTCACCGGTTTTGGGCCGTCATGGTGTTGTCTGTTTGTTTTGGGTTGTCATGGTGTTGTCTGTTTGGTCGGATGTTCGTTGTCACGGTATTGTCCGTTTGGGTGGTTTTGGGTTGTCACGGTGTTGTCTGTTTGATCGGTTTTGGATTATTATGGCGTTGTTCGTTTGGTCTGCTTTGGTGGTTTTGGGTTGTTATGGTGTTGTCTAGATTTAGATTCGTTTGTTTTTACTTCTCGGCCAAAATATGGTTCTATTGCATTGTGAGTCCACCCTTTCCCATTTTTTAGATCTATTCTAGCTTCTCTAGCGTTACAAATCCCGCTTATAGATGCATGTCTCGGGTTGGTACGGCTCCCATAACGTCTTGGTATCTAGATAATTTTACGAGTCCTCCCCTAATCCGTCAAAGTCTTGCCACCAATTATCTGGGAGTTATTCATATTTTTTTTAGGGTGGGAGGTTTAATTCTTTTCTATTTACTCTGATCTTTGGTCCGTATTTTCCGTCCGTGTTTTTCTCGATATTCCCTAGCTTCTTTTAGAGATTGGCAGACGTATA